AAAGACAGAATATGTGGGAATCAAACAGTAATAAGAAATATGACCATTAAGCTTCATGTTTCTTTGGAAAACACATCTAACATTTCCTGTTTTTGATATTGCACTTGAGTGTTTTTTTTAACCAAACCACAACAGGCTGAAATCCATCCTGTCAAAATGTGAACTCATAATGGTGCAGTGACATTTTGGCAGGAAAAAAAAGGTACTCTGTAAAGGTGATGCACAGCACAGCAACCTAGTCATTAACTCCAGGGATACAAGGTGGGGTTTTATAGTTTTACAACTAAATGCCACACATCTTGAAACAGGGAGGCTTTTCTTCAGGAAAGAGAATAACCCCAATATTTTATGTTATTATAAAAACAAAGATATGCCTCCACTTTAGGAAATAAAAATGTGTATGTATGTGTGTGTGTATGTGTGTGTGTATGTGTGTAACTGAGGCTTCAATTCAGGGCTTTGGACTCTCACTTAGCCTTTTTTTTAAGACTGGCATTCTACTACTTGAATCATAATTCCACTTCCAGTTGTTTGCTACTAAATTGGACATAAGAATCTCTCAGACTTTTCTGCCCAGGCTGGCTTCAATTCTGGATCCTCAGATCTCATCCTCTTGAGATCTGGCTAGAATTATAGGCATGAGCCACTGCCCTCTAGCCAAAAATGGCTGCTATGTGGTTCTACTCTATAAGTTGCAGAGATAACAGTAAAAGGGAAGGAATCAATGGTACCCAAGTAGAACCACTTCATAAACATGGAAAATTGGCAATCTGGATGTACAGTATACCACCCAAATTACTATGAGCTGACAACTTGGTTAACACTACTACAAACAGGCTCAGTGCCTATGAGGAAATGAACTTGATGCATTATTTCTCTCTGGCAAGGTGGAACACACTGTGAGCTCTATACCTATTGTTCTTACAAATCAGGAGATGTCTGAAAGCTTCACTCTCTTTCATTGCCTTCTATCTTCTCCCTCCAAAAAATTTCAATTTGTTTCTCTAACATTCACCTATAAGCTTTGTGTATAAAAATGTTCATAGAACAGAGAATTATTCCAAATGCCTCCTTAACCAACATTCAGAGATTTGGGCTTAGTAATGGTCAATGCTTGTGCCATTGTTGGCTAAATATCATTATGACTACCTTTAGTTAAGAGCATTGTAAATCAGTTGGACATCGGTGGCTTATGCTTGTAATCCTAGCTATTCAAGAGCTGGAGATCTGCAGGATCACACTTCCCAGTCCACCTTTGGCAAAATTTTGTTAGACTCATTTCAACAGAAAAAGCTGGGCCCAATGAGGCCTGTCTGTGATACTATTAGTTACATTATAGAAAGGATCAAGGGGAAAAAAAGCAAGGTCCCATCTCAAAAATAATTAGAACAAAAGGGGCTAGGGGTATCGCCCAAGCAGCAGATTACGCACCTAGCAAACCCAAAGCCCTCAGTTCATACCTCACTACTGCTAAAAGATTGTGAATCATATACAGGTTAAGAATCCCCAGTTTGAAACTTTAGAATCTAAAATACTCCAAAATTCAGGAAAGAAAAGTATTTAGACAGTATTCTGAGCATTGTCTAATCCTCACTGAAAGTACCGTATCCAACTACATTCAGGTTATTATATGAAGAAAGTACACATGAATCACAAGCCAACTTCAGGTGTGAGCTTGAGTCTCATCTCCAAAATATCTCATTATGTATATGCGAATATTCCAAAGTTCAAAAATATCTGAAATCCAACATACCTCTAGTCACAAGCATTTAACAAATGAGCCACTACACCTCTATCGATAAGGTAAGTATTTTTTAACTGGTAGCTATTTTTGTTAGCATTGATGTTTGCACTTGCATTCAGCACATCAGATTTTCTATCTGACACTTCCCATCTAGTGGACAAGACCAAATGCATCTCCCACTCAAAACCATGGCCATGGCAGCAGAAGCCTTCTCTGCACAGCCTCTGATCTACATTATGTGGCCTAAAAGCATCAGTGAGCATGAAGTCTGAAGTCTGGACTGTTAACATCAGTGTACATTTGATGATATTTGAGACTCAAAAACAATTCTTTTAAAGCCAGGCCAGTGGCTCATGCCTGTAATCCGAGCTACTCAGGAAGCTGAGATCTGAGGATCATGTTTCCATGCCAACCTAGAAAGAAAAGTCTGTGAGACTTTCATCTCCAATTAGCCAGGAAAAAAGTTGAAAATGGAGTTGTGGCTAGACTCAAGCTAAACGTTCAGGGATGGCACCAAGATCCCTACCTCAAGCCTCAGAACCAGCACACACAAAAACATCCCTCAAATAAGAATCCAAGTCCAAGCCAGGCACCAGTGGCTCATGCCTGTAATCCTAGCTACTCAGGAGGCGGAGATCTGAGGATCCTGCTTCAAAGCCAACCGGAGCAGGAAAGTCCATGAGACTCTTATCTCCAGTAAACCACTAGTAAACCGGAAGTGGCGCTCGCTGTGGCTCACGCGGTAGAGCGCTCTCTTTGAGCTGAAGAGTGCAGGGACAGTGCCCAGGGCCAGAGTTCAAGCGCCACAACTGACAAAAACAAAAACCAAAAACCCAAGTCCATGGACTCTACTCTATTTATTTTAAACTCAATAATCATTTTAAAGTCAATAATCTCCTTTATTATAGTAGCAGTCAAAAAACTCATCTGAAGTTTCCCTTGTTTCCCAAGTAATTATAAAACTAAGGTGGAGGTTGAACAGGCTGCAGTTGGATGCATGAAAGGGATGCCTGAGTTCTTAGGCTCAGTGAAGTGGGGCATAGCAGGCAGGGAGATGTGCTCTGGCCACTGTCCTCATGGAAGTCCAGGAAAGCAAGAGATCTTCCAGGAGAGACAGGCCAGCTGAACATGCTTTCAGTTTCCCCTTAGGCCACGGTTCGACTCAGTATCGTTAAGTGAAAAATGATGGCATTTTCTTAAGTTATTTTTATTTCATATTTTCCATCACTATTTTGCCCTAGAGTTTACTTTCCTACCCCATTAAAAAAAAAACAACTAATGAAGCCAGTAGTGTGTGGCTCACACCTGTAATCCATGCTACTCAAGTGGCTGAGATCTAAGGGTCGAGGTTGGAAGCCATGAGACTCTTATCATCAAGTAATCACCAAAAAAAAAAAAAAAACCCATGGAAGTGGAGCTGTGACTCAAATGGTAGAGCACTAGCCTTGAGTGAAAAAGCTCAGGGACATGTGCCTAGGCCCTAAGCTCAAGCTCCAGAACTGGCATGCATGTGCACAGACAGACACAGACAGAGAGAAAGACAGACAGACAGACACAAACACACAGAGGACTAATGATTTAGCAGGTGACTTCTTTTCCCAGTAAAATAACCTTACATCCCAGTGGCACTGACCATACCTTTCATTTTAATTGAGGCACTGACAATTTTGGTAACTGAAAAGCGGGGTTTTCCTATTCATATACATGCTAGGAAGCTTGTAGTAACTAGTATCACAATTTAAATTCTTGTGAGACATTTCATTGTATGTCACAACCCATTTTCACTCAGCACAGTATTTTTAATTCTGCCTCTTCATAGAAGTTGCATTATCTAGCTGACAGTGCATTTTTAAGCTCAATCCCAATTGGCAAATGTGGTGGGTTTTTTTTCTTCTTCTTCTTTTTCCTGCATGGATCAGGGTCCAAGAAGACAGATGGATCTCCATTCTAACACTAAACAAACCCTGACAGCCCCTGGGAGCCTGTACAAACTTGTTTTATGAACAAATTTTTTAAATATAGAAATTTTACAGATTCATAGATTTGTAATACAGATTTCAGTCCTGTTTTTGAGTCCCCACAAACTTCAAAAATGAATATTTTAACAGCAATCAATATGCAACAAGGGTGTTATGCTTATGTTTATCACATACAAGTTGGTTCCTAAATAAAGACAAATCTCTATCCACACGAGTAAAACACAGACTTAAAGGAAAGGGTAATTCTGATCAAGATGCAATGTACTCATAAATTGGCATGTTTAATTGAAACTCCTTTGAACAACTATTTACATATATCAAAAAGAGGATATAAAAGAATAAAAAATAAAATATAAAGAATAAAATATAAATTTCTATAAAATATAAACTAGATATATAAAAATATAAAATATATGGTAAATATATAAATATATTTTATTTTATTTTTATTTATTTTTTTAATTTAATTTTATTTTATTTGTGTATATATTTTAAATGTATAAAGACATAAACATATATTTATATGTTTATACTTAAAATACATACATATAACTATAGTATATAGTATATATTTATATGTATTATGTTTACATATAAATATAAGTACATACGAATATGATAAACACATTTAAACATATTTATGTTTATTAAATAAATAATATTTAATAATATATTTAAATAAATGTAAATGTATTTAAACTTACTGTATTTATATACAAACATTTTATAAAATAAAATCTAAAATAAAGAATAAATGTTCAAGCTGGACACCAGTGGCTCATGCCTGTAATCCTAGCTGCTCAGGAGGCTGAGAACTGAGGATCGCGGTTCAAAGCCAGCCCAGGCAGAAAAGACCCTGATACTCCTATCTCCAATAAACCACTAGAAAACTGGAAGTGGTGCTGTGGCTCAAGTGGTAGAGCGCTTGCCTTGAGCTGAAGAGTGCAGGGACAGTGCCCAAGCCCTGAGTTCAAGCCCCATGACTGAAAAAAAAAAAAAAGAATAAACATTCGACTACACATTCTACAACCTACCAAGAAAGGGAGAGAATCCGGCACCCTGTGGCTATGGTTATATGAGTGTTCTGTAGATGGTATGATCACTGCTCTGGATATCTCTTTTGAAGACATGAGCAGGAATGGAGGTTTACTGTGAGTGCTATAGAACCAGGGGAGACAGGATAGATATGGCACTATGCTGTGTGTGAGCAGCGGTTCACTTGGTCAGGAGATGAGCATGATGGCAGCCATAGGTGGGTGGGTGGGGGTGGTACTCACCACTGACTCCTCCACTGATGGTGGCTCCTCAGTTTCCAGTCCAAGGTCCAGCCCGACCGCAGGTGCCACGGTGATGGGAGGCTCCTCTGCTTTCAGCTCAGTGGGTGCAGCCTGTTCAGTTTCAGCCTTGGGTTGGTTGTTGGTTGATGGGGGTTTAGAGGAAACACATCAACAAGTTGAACAGGTAATACTGTAGAATACACGACAATTAAGATTTTGCCAATCGTCTTTGTCATCTGAGAGGCAAGTAGTTTCATTAGATCTGTACTGTAAGAAGAATTCCATCCTTGGCATCATTAGCCTTTTCAGAACTTCAAAGTCCAGGAACAAAATCTTGTTATGCTTCTTGTTTCCCATTACCAAGATCATGTTTCCCGTGAAGTCAGCCAACTCATTTTACCTACCTGCAACGATTTACTACTTACTTCACTGTCCATAAGAGATGTGAAAAATGGTACTTCCTTCTATTTTGCAGAGCGATGGAGGGAGTGAGACAGAAGGGAAAGAAGTAGATAAGAGAGAGCAGAATGAGAAAGGAGAGACAGAAAGGGAGAAAAAAGAGCACGAAGAGAGGAGAAACAAATCAACAAGGAGGGAAAGAGAGGGGATTTACATCTGTCAGAAGGAATGAGAGAAAGATACTGCTTCCTAATTCAAAAAGAAGGATTGATACAATGGAACAAGATTTCATAACAGCCAATATTGTAAGTACTCCAATACTGTATGATCTCTCCATTTGGGATGTCAAAGTGATTTGTTAGAAGAAAAACTTATCAAATGGCCCACACAATCGACAGAGTACACAAAGGTCAAGTGTTGGCCAAGGAGGAAGCAACCTGTGAGCTCTCCCTGGCAGGATGAAGTATGCTACAATCTAAAGCCACACAAGGAACCAAGAAAAGTATCCGAACACAAAGCACATATCCTCGTACATTTTTCTTTTTTTTAAGTTCTGAGATGGGGACTTGAACTGGCTACCTGCACTTTCACTCACTGGCTAGCGCTCCACAGAGCCACACCTCCAACCCCTCTTTGTAGATGTTTTAAATGCAAAGACCACTTATGATGCAAACCAGATTCTGGGTTCCTTTGAAGTCCAATGAAATTTGAAGTTCCAGTAAGGCAAGAAAAAACTAGGGAGACTTTCTACATGAGTTTAATAGTATTTGTTGTTGGAATTAGTAACAAAGAGGATATAGCTCTTGCTTCTCCTTTCAAGACAACCTGTCTCATATATTAGAGTGTCCCACAGGAAAATACCAAATGTTCTGGCATGGAATTACAACTTACATTCGAGGGCGATAAAGATAATGCAAGGAATGGAAAGTAAGGATGAAGCACAATTTTATATTGTGCTCCTCTCCTAGGAGCTGTTGGCTGCAGTCCCAGGGGACCTGCATATTAAGTTCAGGGCCCAATATTCAAACCCCCATATTGCCTCCCAATCCTGCTTCTCAAGGGAACATATGGAAGTCACTTACTCTTTCATTCCTTCTGAAGTAGTGTAAAAATCATAAATATTTTGTGAGAAGATAGAAAATGATAGACAAATTCTTCTATTGTGTATCATGATATGAAAAAATCATCTAAAAGAGTTCTACAGGAATTGTGTTCTTCCCAAACTGCTGATATCGTGTGATATGTTTGGGAATGCTGGAAATCATTTCCTATTACTTGTTTGCTATAGTGGCAAAAAAATCTATACATTCAAGAACACAGGGGGTAACCTTCACCTCCAAGGGGGCAGCAGGATAGTACAATGGTTTAACTCTACGAATCAGAAAGAGACTTTTCCTTTATGATAAAAGGAATAGTGTAGCCTTGAAATACATATTCTGAAATCTTCTATGGTAAGACACAGTCAAATCAATGGGGAGCCAGGGGAGATGGGCTGGGAGACTGAAGGGGTCTATTTACAATCTAATATGGTGCCTGCCTTCTAGTTCTGCTTCCCCAACCCTGAAAACTACAAGAGACCTTGGAGACAACTCAGAACTCTAGGTAAGATCTGCAGATTATACACTAGATGCTCTTTGGAGCCAAACAAAGCCATCAGGGAGAGTTCCAGGTGATTACCTGTTTTGTTCAGTGCAGTCAATTAACTAATTGCTGGGTTGTTCCATATTCCTGGAAAGAGACACTATAATGATGACTTACTCATAGACACACACTCAGTGTGATGTCCTGGTCCCTCACACAAGGCATGCAGCAATATTTGCCACAAAGGGTACACCAACCAACTTCCCCAGCAGAGAAAAGAGATATCTGATTCTAATTCTGCTTATTGAGAGAAGGAAAGGGCAGGAATGCACATTATTTAGAAACACCAAACACACAGAACTACCATATGGCCCAGCAATTATACTTCTAGCCAGTTATCCAACAGAACACAAACAAGTAAAGCCATGAGCACAACCATGTTAATTGGAGGACTAGTCACCATAGCTGTGGAATCAGCCCAGATGCTCCTTGATGGACAAATGGATCAAGAAAATGTGGTATATACACACAATAGAATTTTACTCATCTATTAGAAAGAATGATATTGTACCACTTGTAAGGAAATGGGAAGACTTGGAAAAAATTATATTCAGTGAAGAAAGCCAGACCTAAGAAACAAAGGTTGCATGGTTTCCCTCATTTATGGTGGATAGAATGTGCCTATAAATCTATTCGTAAACACAATGGGTGGTATGCAAGTGGTTACAAATGACTTAGCTGAAGTAAAATAGATTCTATGGAGAGCTCAAGTAGTATAATCTTTTAGAAAGACTAGGTCAAAGCCCAACAAAATCAATGCCACAAATTGGGTACATCCAAGGTGGAGGAAAGGGGAGATGGGAAGATGAATGAAGGTGGAGAAGGGGAGAGAATGCAGTCAAGAACTCATTGCATATACCACAAAATTAAGAAAAGTAGGGGAAGGGGTGAGTCAAAGGTGAGTCAAAGTCAATGTTGAAATGGTGATGCTGATCATGATGCAGACTATTCATAAACTGCTTTGTTACATGGTACCATCCCCTGGTACAGCTACATAAAGATAACTGAAAAATTAAAAATACATAAAAATAAGTTAAAATAAACATATAATTCTGAGCTTAGATGTTTTACATCAAAGTAGTAGGTATGAATTTAATTATAATCATTGCTTTTTATTTTGTACCAGTATTTCTTCACTTTCTAAACCCAGTTACAATTGATAATTATAAAACAATTCTGTCACCCAGGCTGACTCAACTATGAACATAAAGCAGAACTAAGGAAGTGAAAAACCTCCCATGCTCCTGGATTGGAAGGATTAACATCATGAAAATGGCAATGCTATAGGGATACAGGTAGATCCATTGCAACAATGAGATGTACAAGTCGTTATGTGGAAAAGCAAACTTTACAACTTTGGTGGGGGGGGGAGGAGAATTGGGTGGGGGGTGGGGGGAGGATGGGAAGGGATGGGAAGGGGAAATAAAGGAGGAGGCTACAATGCTTGATAAGACATGTACTCATTATCTTGCCCATGTAATTGTAACCCCTCTGTACAGTATTTTCACCATGTTCATCAGCAGAAAAAGAAAGAAAAGAAAATCAAAATTATAAGCCACACTAGGCAAACTTCTTAGAAAGGATTATAACCATTTCATAGGGCTTGGTCAAAGAATAATTTCCCAGTTTTTCTCATACGTATAATTGAAAGAATTGCAGACAGAATCTTGGAAAATATGAGATATTGAATTTCCATAAAATTTCCAAATAAAAGTTACAAAATAGCTTAAATTTATAGTGATACCAGTATGTACATTATCTGAGTCCTGAAAAATGCATCCCCTACAATTTGCAATGGAGAGTTCTGGCCTCCTGAAGGGAAACCCATGAGCTTCTGTATGATGCAAACAAAGCAGAGTGGTTACAGCATAGAATGACTAGACTTCTTTCTGAAGATCACTATTTTATGCCAACTGTTCTATTTTAGTGCACTTTTCTGATCCTAGGATTTCTCCTTTAAAAATACAGAGATCATTACCTATCATTAGATCCATTACTTATTATAGCATTAATAAGAAAACACATACATAAAATCTTCATGTTGTATGTGAACTGTGAAATGAATACATAAACAGTAGTAGTAATCCCACCTTTTATCTGAATGCAGGGGCAATTTTTACTCTGAACTATTATGAATTTTGGAACATACTAAAAAAAGACACAAAAATAATCTAGTTTCTGGGAGATCATTTACTCAGATTTTATCATGATTTACCTTAAATCAAATTAGTTATTGTCCTTTATACTTATAAAAATACTCTTAGTACTTTAGGGAGTACTTAGTACTTTAGGAATCTTAGTACTTTAGGGAGTGATTAACATGTAATTACATTTATTCAACAAATATTTGCAGACTATATGCTATGTGTTTGGTACTGATGTGAGCTCATGAAGCAAAACTGTGAATAAGACAGAAAAGATTTGTGTTTGTGTGTGTATGTATGTGTGTGTGTGATTTGATGTTTATTGGGATTATAGAACTGTAAAATATTACACTGTGCCATGTTTATTTCAAACCTAAGATTCAAATGGAATGACAACACTAAGTGTACTATATTTGAAAGAAAAATATGTAACCTAAAAAAATAAATAAATAAATAAAATAAATAAATAAATGAAGATGGCAATACTGACAAAGGCTATCTACAAATTCATGGCAACACACATCAATATCCCAGTTTTATTGTTTAATGAAATAGAGGAAGCAATCCAAAAAGTCATATGGAACAATAAAAAACCCCAAATAGCAAAAGCAATCCTTAACAGAAAGAATAGTGCCGGAAGAACATCAATACCAGACTTCAAACTCTACTACAAGGCTACAGAAATCAAAACAGCTTGGTATTGGCACAAGAACAGACCTGAGGACCAATGGAATAGAATTGAAGACCCAGAAATGAACCTGCAGACCTATGGCCACATAATCTTCAATAAGGAAGCTAAAAAAAAGTAGAATGGAAGAAAGACACCTCTTCAGTAAATGGTGCTGGCAAAATTGGTTAAACACCTGTAGAAAATTAAAGTTAGATCCTTATATATCACCTGCACCAGAATCAACTCCAAATGGATAAAAGACTTTGAGGTAAAAGCAGACATCCTTTAAACATTACAGGGAGGAATAGGAGAAACTCTAGGGATCCTTGGCACAGGCCGAAATTTTCTTAATAAAGACCCAGAAACACAACAAACCAAAGAAAGGCTGGACAAATGGGATTGCATGAAACTGCAGAGCTTCTGCATGGCAAAGGACATAGCTACCAAGATCAATAGAAAGCCCACAGATTAGAAGATCTTCACCAGCCATACAACAGAAAAGGGTCTTATGTCTAAAATATACTTAGAACTCAAAAAATTAAATCCCCCAACAACAAATCCTCAAAGAAACAACTGCCCAATAAATAAGTGGGCTAAAGACTTAAAGAATGACTTCTTTGAAGAAGAAATAAGAATGGCCAATAGACACAGGAAGAAATGCTCAACTTCTCTAGCCACAGAAGAAATGCAAATCAAAACAACACTGAGATTCCACCTCATCCCAGTTAGAATGGCTATAATCAAGAACTCTAATAACAACAGATGCTGGAGGGGATGTGGCCAAAAGAGAACACTTCTACACTGTTGGTGTGAGTGTAAGCTTGTTTGACCACTCTGGAAAGCAGTATGAGGGTTGCTCAAAAGACAAAACATAGAGCTCCCCTACAACCCAGCATCCTACTTCTGGGCATTTACTCAAATGACCAGAAACAAGGCAACTAAAGCTACAAGCACAACTATGTTTATCACAGCATTATTTACCATAGCTAAGATATGGAACCAACCCAGAAGCCCCTCAGTAGATGAATAGGTCAAGAAAATGTGGTATATACATATACATTTTCTCTCTCTCTCTCTCTATATATATACATACAATGATATTCTATGTTTCCATCAGAAAGAATAACATCCACCCCATTTGTAAGGAAATGGAAGGACTTAGAAAGAATCATATTAAGTGAAATAGCCAAACTCAAAGAAACACAGGTCGCATGGTTTCCCTTATTTGTAATAATTAGTATACTTCTAGGATAATCTTATCAGATGAGCAGAATAGCTCAATAGCTATGTACACATAACCATATAAGATGATGCTAAGCGAGATGAACTCCAAGACATGGACACAAGAGGTTTTTGTTGTTGTTGTTGTTTCTAATGTACTATGTGACTTCTATTTTCTTTGTTTTTTTTTTTCCTCCTATGGTTTGTTTCTGTTGTCATGGTATTTGATGTTGGTACCCTGGGTATTGTATATACGTTTATCTGAACTAGGGAAGAGAAGGAAAGGGGAACAACAAAATGGTGAGACAAAGGGGAACCAATGCAACAGCGATACTCACAAGACAATATGTTGGAAATGATCTGTACAAGTTGGGGGAGGGGATGGTGGAGGGAAAGAGAAAAATGAGGGAGGTGGTAACGAGTTAGATAAGAAATGTACTCACTATCTTACTTATGTAACTGTAACCCCTCTGTACATTACCTTGACAATAAAATTAAAATAAAAAAATGCATCTTTCAGGCTTCATTGTTGATACAAATAATATGTACTCGAAGCACTTAAACATGTTTTTGTAGGCCACAGAGATTCCCTTTTTTTGCTTGGCTATGCAAAATAAATAAAAATCAAAGCCCACAAAACAATCTATTTAGGTATTAGACACTCCAGGGAAGATTCCAATGGCCTAACTCATCTAAACCACTAATGAATAGTTTAATCATAGGAATAGCACTAAGCTTTGTTGAGGGAGAGGGCAGAAGGAGGAGGGAGGACAGAAAAATGGAGAGTAGGAGCAGATGAATTCAATGTGCATATGTGAAAATGGAAGTGCGTAGCTTGAGGGTGTGGGATGTGGAGAGACAGGGGAGCATGCTGGAAGGGGTGACATAGATCACGATGCCTTGCACTCATCATCTGACTGGTTGAGTTGAAATAACTTTGCCACGTCTGTCAAGGTCATTTCATTTTCAATCATGTTGCTTGTAATAGTTACACAGGAAAATCTGACAGCTTTCTGGTATTCCACTGAAGCCACAAGCAAAAAGACTGGGTGCTCCCTGGTGTCCCTGTGCTTTTCCAAACAGAAGTAGCCAAATTCAAAGTCACACTGAGATTTTACGGAGTTTTCTCCTCCTATTTTCCAGAAAAGAGGGGCTTTCAGAAATCACATTCCACATATTCAAACTGTAGACCAGAGGAACCAACTTACGTTCCAATACTTGATGGTAACTTCAGAAATTCCCAAAGACATAGCAGCCACAACTTAAGCAAGCTACACACTTTGGTTTGCCTGAACTGTAAAACAGTGAAGTGCCCTGGGGCTGAAGATGGGCAAAAACAAGCCATGAAAGATTTGGGAGATCCAAACCCTCTGTATCTGAAGGTGATGAGACCAGTGATACCAAGAATCAATCCAAGTCACTGATTGGGTAGTCCAGTGGGCCTACAATGAGAAGCATGAATAACCATGAGAAACAAGTTAGGTGTGAGAAAGACAGGAGAAAGGCCACAAAGCCAAGTAACGTGATTAGATCTCAACATAATGTCTACTCTAAAAACCAAGCTGTGTCCTTTCCTTCCCAGCATGAAACATGAAATTAATTCTACTGAGGTTGGAGAAGTTGGGCTTTGGGCTGGGACACACAGGCACATTAGGAAAGTAGAAGGATCGATAAGCATTTACATGTTAAGTGTAAGAATGTATGGTGCAGGGCGCTGCTGGCTCACACCTGTAATCCTAGATATTCAGAAGGCTGAGATCTGAGGATCGCAGTTCAAAGGCAGCGGACAGGAAAGTCCATGAAACTCTTAATCTCCAATAAACCACCAGAAAACCAGAAGTGGTGTTGTGGCTCAAGTGGTAGAGTGTTAGCCTTGAGCTGAACTGCTGAGGGATAGCGCCCAAGCCCAGAGTGCAAGCCCCATGACCAACAGCAACAACAAAAAATGTATGCCTCTCTCTCCATGTGCTCTCTATAGCATTCTGTTCACCTCCTTCACAGTACAGCTGAGATTTGACCCCTCACACTGGAACCACAGGAATCTAGCCTAAGAACTTGGGCCAGCTCTAGTAAAATGCAAAAAGGAAGGAAGGAAGCCTGGAAAGAAGGAAGGAAGGAAAGAAGGGAGGGAGGAAGACTCTCACAGCAGAGGTTCCTGGACAGAAAAGATGATCTGGAAATCCTACAACGACATGTACAGCCAGTGAGACCAGTCTACAAGTTTCCATTCAGATCTTTTTTTTTTTTTTTTGTATTGTGAGAATACCGTACAGAGGGGTTACAATTACATGGGCAAGATAACGAGTACATTTCTTATCAAGCATTGTTGCCTCCTCTTTGTCCATTCAGATCTTTTAACATATTTTTAATCTTCCATCAAGATCACTAGGCATTGAGAAAAGTCTCAGATACAAAATGGAGAAACTGAATAGTTAAATACTGCAAGTGGAAGAAAAAAATAATGACAGGAAAAAGATTGTATTGGAAAACACAGCCACAAGTACAATGAACTCCTGGAAACTCACAGTATTCTAGGAGTGAAAGACCTGTTAGAAGAGATAGAATGCAGAGAAGGTAGAGAGAAATGGCTGGAAAAAGGAACAGCAAAGCAAAGCCAAAGTCTGAAAAAAGAAGCATTAGAAAACAGCAGAACAAGAAAAATAGAGTAATCACATGTGGAATAATAATAATAATCCACAAATTCCAATTCTGAATATATCGTGAATACCCATTTAGCGAATTCCTAATATGAACATTGTTGAAAGCTCTACATGTCTATCATTCAGATAGAAAGCATTATATCAGAGACAAGCTTCAGGTTGAGGTCTCTGTGAAGGGACTGTCAGAATTGAATCCAGGAGTCAGATAACCATATTTTCTATAGCTCCATCTCTACTTCCAGTCAATCCTCTCACCTTTTTGGGACAGATGAATTTAGAGAATCAGATTAGCAGAACTCTACTTACCAGTAGAGAAACCAGCGGACAGCAGAATTATTAGTCTGTTTCCATTTCTCTGAGTATAGGGTCAAATTTTGTACTCATACTGTTCATTATTACAGTGGCATAAAGCGCACAATGAAAAAAATCAGTATTCCTAGGAGAGGATCTTGCTGGAAACTTGATATCTTACCTGGGTAAATCCATTAAATGAACCACCAGGAGCCTGAACAGAAATGGAAAATGAAGTGCATTACTTTTTTTCCATTACTTCTATAGGATTATGTGAATATCCATTAGACAAGTTGGAGAGTACTGACTACCAGACTTCAAAATAATACAAAAGGTTGTTGTGCATGAATGCAATTAGGAAATGCAAAAAGCCATGCTGTATTATTTTAAATAGGCTGACAAAAAAAGAAATGTCAATTTTACAATTATTGCTAATCCAATCGATTTTCTCATTAATGAGACGGACGGTTCCAGAGAAAAGCCATGAGAAGCTAACAGCTCTTTATTCAGGCTCGTGGTAAATGTTAGAAAAAGCTTTCCCAACATTTCTATAATTTGTCATCTTGGTGAATCATAGCAGTTTCAGATGGCTGATGAGAACATTTCATATGTTCTTAATGCAGTGACAAACTTTAGGACCACTACATAGGTCTGTATTGTTTGTAGTTTAGCACATTTTTAGCTTGAACTCAAGACCTCCAGTTTGCTACGCTGGTGCTCTACCACACAGCTATACCTCCAACCCTGAGGTTTTTTTTTTTTAAAAATATTTGTTAAAGTTCTTTTCAGAATAACACTTCATGAGATTTTTTTTTGCCTGGTCTTTCTTCAAACCATGAGCCTACCGTGTACAGCCTCCCAAGTAGCTAAGATTACAGGCATGAGCAATCAGCACCAGGTTTCCTAACCATTTGGGGGCTTTGGTGGGATTCTTTTTGTCAACCTATTTGCATTTGGGTTGCACAGATTTCGAGAGGTATGATAATCTGCCAAGGAGATCAACGGAATGGGTAATGAAGGAGGTGAGAGACACTAGGAAAAACGGAACCTACAGAAGTCTCTGGCCAGTATAGGCTACATATTGGGGTAGGTACCTCGTCTTTATCAGCTTCTATTTCTTGATACAACAATCCATATCTCTGGTTAGCAATTTCATCTTCAGATAACTCTGAGTTGTTGGTGTCAATGTCTCGAGAGCTATCAGAACTCTCAGTGCTAGTGTTCCAGAAGGGTCCCAGAGCCAATGGTCTACCTATCTCTAGGCTTTGCTCTGAGCAGTTAATAATGGCTTGCTCTTCCTGGATACCTGTTAGTAAGTCCACTTCCAGTCCTTTCTGACTTCCAACATCTAAATGTGCACAGGAATGATCAAAGCCTTCCCCATCTCTGAGAGGCCAGCAGTGATTAGAATCTAGACAACTGGCAAATTCACTGGCTTGACCATCTGGAATACCAGAGTATCCTGATGTGCCCATATTACCCATGACTAAATTCAGGTTTGGCTGGCTGATTTGATCTGCAATTACTCCCTGTGTCTTTGCAATTTCTGGCATGTTAACAGTCTGACTACCATTATCAGTAACTGTACTTTCCAACCACTCTTTGAAGGAGTTTCCTCCCTCATGTGAGCACTGAGGTCCTCTGCTGCCATTAGTTTCCAGAGAACAATTAAAGTCCGTCTTAGACTCGACTGCCTCTGCATATTTCATTGATGCAGAGATGGCCTGATTTTCATCTTGGGCACCTTCACAGGCACTTAACACAATGTCACACTGAATTTCTTCAGCTTCAGCACTGCCCTGTGCTGAGTGACATTCTAAAGCATGGTTGGCAGGGTCAATTACATTTTTCTTTATGTCTTTTCTAGGTAAATCCCATCCTCCAGGACTGGCATCTTCCATATTAGATACAGAGTCAGCCTGGAGAAAAGGATTCAACACATCTACGTAATTGTCAGGTTGAGCTCCAGAGCCTTCCATATTTTTACAACCATTAATTACTTGAACTCCATCATGTAGCCCTTGGACTCCATCACTACACTTACCTACCACAGCTACACTTTCTATATTGTCTTTTTCTAATAGATCAGCTTCCTCCAAGTAATTTTCATGGGTTTCCATATTTTGCTTACATCCTACTCTTAGATCATCAATTTCACTAGCATCCTGGTGTTGCTTTGTGACTGCTTTAAGACAAACCAGTGTCCTGTTCTCTATATGTCCATATATTTCCTCTGCAAATTCCTTAGTTCCCCCTAGTGCCTGGACATCAATTTCTCTAGCATCTACCTTTTGACCCGTCTCCATATATGCCCACACAGAATCTTCCATCTTCTGCTTCTCTCCTTCTTTGTCTGACCTTTCAGTATCTTCATGGCCTTCTTTAGGCAGCCCAGCAGTGTTCACAGCTGGAACCTCTGAGTCACATGGTTGGTTTATCTCCAGACAAGTAGTAATGGCAACTCCAGGCTCAGGCATGGGCTTTGGGGGCTGCTGTTCATTTCCACCTGTAAGGCCTGGCTCTAGGACACACTCGTTCTGTTCGGCTACAGTGGACCCATCAGTGGAAGAAAACATTCTGGTGGAAAATCTGTCTTGCTGAGCTTCAGACACACATGCAAAGTCTTCTTGAGACTCACTCAGGGTCATTTCCTGGCTGACACTCTCTGTACTATCATCAGGGCCCCAAGTAAATGCACCTATATCAATTTGAGATCTTTGAATTTCTTCGGCCAACCCACTGTCTGGAGTTTCCTCCATGATCAGGTTACACAGAGAAAGACTTTTTGAAGAGTCAGTCTTTAAAATATGCAGAAAAGCAAAGGAAAAAAAAAATAAGATGAATAGACCATGGCAAGTTCTGATGAGAAAACACAAAGCTCTTTAGTAGGATAACACCAGTTCAACAATGTTAGAAAGCTTTTAAATTAATTGGCTAAATCCATGACTAGCAACATAGTAGGGGAAAAGTTCAATCTAGAATAAACATGTATGTAATGCATATTAAATATTTTAGAAATCCAGAGTTTTCTGGGTATTTACCTACCGGTTGTGCCAAATCAGTGCTTGTCTGTATGGGTTTTAAAAAGAAGAATAATTATAAGGCAAGGAAGGAAAATTCACTGGTAGATTAAAATCTCATATTATCTAGAGAAAACATTCCGCTAAAATCCAGGGCTTTTTACTTGTTTGAGATTATATGTTGCAATGTATTTGTGATGGGAATTCTTTTATTACTTAAGACTACTATGGAGAAATCATAATTGAAACACAAAAGAAAACCTCTGCCATTTTCTAGCATCAGAAAGGATGTTTTATGGCTACTATACATATTCCGCTCTAGCAGAGTATGAAATGCTTATTTAGTCAAACAAGCAAGCAAGTCTGAGAATAAATACTAAAATGACATCAAACCTCTACAGGTACAGCAATTACCCAATATCATATGCTTTAACCTGACACAGCCTCAGAAAGACAAACTACAAAGAAAAATCTCCCCCAACTCATCCTTCACTTGGATTCTGAATCTGAGGTAGGGACATCAATGAAGGAAACATCTGATATTAACCACTCTGTCTTGAGAATTATCTTTCCTCAACCTAGGAGCCATTTTCTACATGCAAGCAAAATCCTTTGGTTGGTTGGGAAGAGTAAAAACAATGAATAATTACGTCTAGAACGTCATCATTTAATTACTAATTATTCCTGATATTCCTAGTAGGCTTGTCTTCTAAAGCGGCCAGAAACTCCTTCTAGATAATTCTTTTACCCACATCACACCTTCTCCAGCAAGGAAAGAAAAATACATTACAGCTCCAACTAAAGATAGGAGATCCAAAAATTAAAAATAAATAGCATTACTCTTTAGACATTAAGAAAAAAGCCAGAGTTGAGGCTAGAATTCAAATGCCCTGAATGCCAATTCATTCATCTCTTTTTGGGAGAATACATGAGTGAAATAAGTTCACTATAAAAGACAACTTAGTCATAGGTGGTTTTAAAGAACACTATGAATAACATGGATAATAATCTCTTTTATTGCTATGTGCTACATATTGGGCTACAAATATCTCATTTAATCTCTACACAATCCACTGCCATCACCTTCATTCTATAGATAAGAAAAACTGAGGCTTAGAGAATTTTAGAAATTGTTCCAAGTCCCAACATTAATACTATTCAAGTCTGGACTTAAATCCAGCTTGTTATTATACAAGCTTCACTGCATGTGATAATGAAATAGTAGTTAGAATCATTTGCCATTGTTCTCATCCACACTTGTTTCATTCTACTGAAAAGCAACCACACAGGTACCTGCCCATCCCTACAGTTACTACCATCTCACAGGTAGAAGCAAAGGTCACAATGCCACAGTCTTGACCCCTAGTACACTTTTCCCTACCAAGATCTTGAGGTTGTGGAAATGAGAGGATTCGATTATCATTAGCATTCAATTATCTTCTTTCCCTCATAAGGGAAATAAAACATAATGAGGCCTCCACATTTTTCCAGCTCAAGATACATGTGATTAGAGCTCTTACCGTCCATAAGTCCCAGGGCAATGTCTGAAAAGAAAAGGAACAAAAATATTATTATTATATAAATATCCCAAATGTGGGAGAAAAATACAGAGGTGGTGATAAATATAAGGAGGTGAGAAATGGCTTGATAGCAAAAGTATTTTTAAGCATTCAATACAACACCATTCTATAGAACCTGCACCACTGATGGAAATTTATGTGTTATCTAATCTGATAGATACTTGTCACAAGTGGTTACTGGGCACTTCTAGTTTAACAGAACCAAAAGTTTGTTTATTATATATATGCAATTTTTATAATCTTATAATAAGTAGTTGTACTCTTTGTAACTCTGGAGGGTTAAAGACATTTGAACAGCTTCATGTAAAGTATAGTTCAGCACTTCAGATTGTGAGTACAGTGCTTAAATTGGTGCACAGAGCTAGCGCATACCACACTGGAAAGCACAGGTGTCACCCATCTGCCTTGTGTTCCATAAACAGGAGACAACCTTACAACTGAAATACATCCCACATCTAAAAAGGGGTTAATTTGAATACATCATTAAAACAGGAAGATAACTAGATCTTAGAGTGTATCACCCCATGGAGGAGAGTGTATTTTAATCATGTGACTATCCCTGCCCCCCATCACCTTTGAGAGGACCAGTTTGATGGTAAATGAATCCCCAAAAGTGGTTCGTCTGAGTGTTGAGTTACAAAGCATGCAGTTCAATTAATTGGTAATCACACCCATTAGCAGGGTGCCCACTAAGACATATGAACAAATTATACTTGCTACAAGGATTTTCATTATCAAGCTTATTGGTTCACAGGAAGGAACCCAAATGGTGCAAATGACCTCCACTGTGAGTGGGAACAGTGGGATAGATCTCCCTTTCTTCTTTCTTCTGAGACTGAGAATTAAATTCATATCCCTTTAATATGCTTGTTTTTGTGACAGACCCCCATTTGCTAACTTGTTTTGCATCACCGGAGCCCAGCACTGCCATTGTAATTGCTGACTCTTCCAGTGGTGTGGACAGATGCCTTGTTGAGACTCTGTATTACAGAAAGTAGGACCTCTGGTTATCATGGGTGCTCCCCCCACCCTTACCTCTTGATGTGAGCCTATTCTAAAGTTACTCAGCTGTTCACTCTACATCTCTGTGCAGATTGGTTTGTCTCATGCTTAGTAAACTCTCAGAGAATATCAAAGATGGAAAGGCACACACCTCTGTGTACATAAACTATTTTGCATCTAACATGCATTTTCTCATTATCCACAGAGTTTCTATTCTCTTGATCCACAGAACCTTAAGAAATACAGATAATACTCTGGACAATTGGTTTTGTACATATATATGTCCTCGCATATGTTTTCATATATGTTTATAATTTACATCTAACTTCCACATAAAAAACACGTGAGCTAGAGTCTGACTTCTTTCACCTAAGCTAATTTTTTCCACAACCATCCATTTCCCTGCAAATGAAATAGTATTATTCTGATGACTGAGTAACATTCCATGTATAGATATACCACAGTTTCTTGATTGACTTATTGCTTACAGGGCATCTGGGCTGTTTCCATAACTTGTATCTGGTCAATACAGTTATTGTCCATGTACAAAAGTAAAAATGGAGCCAGGTAACTTGAGGAGATGGGTGGGGTTGGGAGAGGTGAGGGAGAAGGATGGAAGGGGTGACATTGATCAAGATATATTGTACTCATACACTGACATGTTGGTTGAAACTGCCTTTGTGCAACTACTTAGAGATTTAACAAAATAAAAGCTTAGAGTACACATGAGTGTAGGTCTCTACAGGATGCAGACAACACAGCAGTTTCTCCAAGGGAAGGCAGCAATGTGGAATTTGGGGCTGATCACTCTTCCGGATGATGAAAGGAGGTGAGAGCTCATATGAACACTGTGAACATCACAAGATCAGATGTTCTACTGGCAGCAAGAAGAGATCAAGGGCAACAAGAGGTAAGCAATGGGTAAAGATCATTGTGAGTGAAGAAGAGAACCACAGACTATAACAGCACTGTGCTATTGGTCCCTCAGCTCAGACTTTATCCTCAATGAAGAAGGAGAGAGGGAAGTGGATATAAGCCATGGGTGACTTCCTTACACCCACTGGAGGCCAAAGGAATTTACTAGATGGCTCTAAAGAAAATCTACACAGTCCAAAGAGCTTGCCCTGATGGCAGCAATGTACTCCCCACAGTAGTACAAAAACTGTTGAAGACATTAATCAAAATTATTTTTTAATTCTGCAAGAATCTTTAAGCCAAGTTCAGTGGTGCATACCTATAGTCTCAGCCACTAAGAGGTTGAAGTGGGGGGGGGGGGCGTGGTCCATGTTGGAAAAAAAAAGATGAATCATTTAATTTTAAGTCCACACAAAGTCCCACCATTTGTGGATCGATTTAATCATGAGTTGATATAAAAGTCATTTCTCTCTTGGTTCAAATTTCCACACAGAAAAATGTGGTGGACTTTTAGACACTCTTTTCAGAATCCACCACAGGAATTTTTCTTCTCCCATGAGAGTAATGAACTATGAAGGGTAAGCAGATGGATTCTTTTGTCTGTCTGCTTCTGCAGTGACACAGCTCTGGGAAGGACTCATGCTGAGCTACTCAGACATTCACTGCCCACATTTCATTACCACCAAGGGACATCTCATACTTGCTGACAAAGACCACTTTTCTACCTTCCAAAATATGATTTAGAGAATAATTCAATGACTTGTAAGAAAAGCTTCCCTAAAACAGATTTCTGCAACCAGATATATTTGGGAACCTGAATTAAACAATCTAAACAGTTATTTAAAAAAAAAATAATTGTATGAATTTACAGGGCCTCTCTCTACTAGTCTAATATACATAGGTATCTTCTAAGAGAGTAGAAAGATAATTTTCTGAGCCATTCATCTGAGAGATCAATTACTTTTATAAAGCTTTAGTACTAGGGACAGACTTCCTGAATTCCTCTGACTGCTGACATATTAGCCTTGTTCGTATTTACAACAGAGAGGCTTTTAGAAACCCAATCACCTTCTAGAACAAAGCATGGGTTATACTCAGCATCATGTTCTGGAGATACTTAGGTTCTATTTGATCAGATTTAGTCATCACACAAGGGTTTACTCTGAAGTACAAAAAAGACTTCAAGTTCAGGAAATTGAGATAGGCCTCAATTTCTTTTTGGGGGGGGGGGTTATTGTGAAAATACTGTACAGAGGGGTTACAATTACATGGGCAAGATAATGAGTACATTTCTTATCAAGCATTGTAGCCTCCTCCTTTGTTTCCCCTTCCCATCCCTTCCCATCTCCCCTCCCCACCTCCCCACCAAACCCTCCCCCCACCCCACCAAAGTTTTAAAGTTCGTTTTCGACATAACTACTTGTACATCTCATTGTTGCAATGGGTCCACCTGTAACCCTATTTAAACGATTTGTTTTTTCCCCTTCCCCTCCACAAATTATAACAACATCAAATACAGTGAAAGCAGGGGTTATACCGTGGGGTAGGGACATACAAAGCAACAAAGAACTAATCTTATAAATGTGTTAGAAACAATCACATGAAAGAAAAAAAAAATTTGAATACATATCATAGGGTTCATTTCCCTAACATCAAATTAACTGACTTTTCTGCTTGACTCAGACTAGTTATTGCAAATAAGGGAAACCATGGGACCTATGTTTCTTTGGGCCTGGCTTACTTCACTTAATATAATTTTTTCCAAGTCTTTCCATTTCCTAACAAATGGGGCAATGTCATTCTTTCTGAGGGAGGATAGGCCTCAATTTCTAAGTGGAGTTTTACACTACGCTTTCATTAATTTAATCTGTAGCAAATTCTGGCATATTTAGATTTTTTTCCCCTTGAGTCAAATGTATGTTCCCTAAAAATACCAAAATTACCAGCCTAAATTTTGTATCAACATCTTCCCATTATTGCAGATAACTGTAAAAGGTTTTTCCAGGAGAATCAGTAGAGCCGCTACCACCACTATGCCTGTGACACAGGATCTTATTTCAATAATTAATAGAAGAGGAGAAAAGATGAGGGTAGAGACACACTGAGCCAGGGAAAGCTTGGTAAGCAGGGGCAGCTCCACATCTAAGTAAATATCACAGGAGAGGCTGTTCTGCAAGGTGTAGGACAAGCAGAATAACCTCAAGTTCAGAGCTATCAAGACTGAAAAAGATTTCTGTTGGGGTACAATCTCATGGTTAATTCAAGCATGCCTTAAATTGTAAAGTATAAAGGAGAAAATGGGGGGGGGGGACAGCAAGAAGAATAAACCTAAAGACAAAAGAAGAAACTTTATTTTAGGAAGCCATAAGATCAACTATTCAACCATGGATAACTTTGCGAGTAAACAGGAGCCTTGTTAATCCACCTGCAAATGGTGATTCCAGGGCAAACAGGAATGCAAGGTGTGGCACTTCTGTGGGAACAGACAGCTAATGGCATCAGAATCATTACTATTGATTAATATTCTTCCTGCTCCTCCTTCCTATGAGGAAGTATTTCTTAACCAAAAAGAAAAGCAGGTGAGTGTTATTTGAAAGGGATTAAGGATCATTGTTCACCTTCTTGAACTTAATGGTGTATAAAATGTCTTCCCAAATTATGCAAAAATCAACATGATACCTGAGACATGGGTGAGTGGGTCACTCCAGCAGAACCAGTAGGTGTCACCTCAGGCTTGAAGGGATCAAAGTCTAGATCCAGCAGAGTCTCCTCCTTCTTTACCTCTGTGACTTCATTCTGTTAAACACAGATAAACAAACCATGCATTAGGTAGGCCATGATATGACAATTCATGAGATCACCCATGTGGAATTTCTCTAATATTACTGTTTGATATCCTCAAACATGCTCTCCAAATACTACAGCACAGTGAAAAGAATTGAATTAGGGTGAGTTTACCTTCTGATGGTTTACACACATACTCACAAAGTCACTTAGATAAAAGTGATGAGTAAGATGACTAACTGATAAAATATAGTCTAACCCCCGCCCCAACATGTTCAGGACATTTTTTCTATCTTTGTTCTGTTCTAATTCCATCTAACAAGGCACACTTCAAAGAGAAACCTTAATGTCACCAAAAGGCCCCCAATCTCAAAAGCAAACCTGGGCAAAAACAAAAACAAAAACAAAAAACAGGCACAAAAACAGGCCCAAGGACCAATGGAACAAAATAGAAGACTCAGAAATAAACCCACATACCTACCTACAGCTAACTAATATTTGATCAGGAAGCCAAAAACATAGGCAAGAAAAAAAGAGCCTCTTCAATAAATGCTGCTGGAAAAACTGGATATCCACATGCAGAAAGCTGAAACTGGACCCCTATCTGTCACTCTGCACTAAAGTCAACTCAAAATGGTTCAAAGACCTCAATGTAAGACCTGAAACCATGAAACTGCTACAGGAATGAATAGAAACATTAGAACTTCTTGGCAAAAACAGGAATTTTCTGAACAAAGTTCCAGGGGCCCAGCAAACAAAAGAAAGAAATGGGATTATATCAAACAAAGATTCTACATGGAAAAAGTCATAGTTAACAAACTAAAGACACAGCCTACAGAATGGAAGAACTCGACCAGCTATATATATCAGATAGTGGCCAAACACTGACAATGTACACAGAACTCAGCAAAATAAACCCTCAAACCAATAATCCAATTAACAAATGGACAAATGAGCCAAATAGACTCCACTCAGCAGAAGTAAAAATGGCCAATCAACCTATGAAGAAATGCTCAACATCCCTGACCATAAAGGCAATGTAAATTAAAACAGCAATGATATTCTATCTCTCCCCAGTTAGAATGGTCATCATCAAGAATACAAACAACAGATGCTGGTGTGAGGGGAAAGGAACCCTAATATACTGCTAGAGAGTATGTAAACATGTGCAACCACTCTAAAAAGCACCTGGGAGATTCCTCAAAAAAACTAAACATAGAACTACCCTATGATCCAGCAATACCAGTCTTGGACATTTAGTAAAAAAAAAAAAAATTACAAATCAAGATACAGTAAAGTCCTTGTACAATGCTTATTGTTGAACTATTCACTATAGCCAAGGTATAGAATCAGCCCAAGTGCCCCTCAATGGGCAAACAGATCAAGAAAATGTGGTGTATATATATACATTGGAATATTATTCATCCATTAAGAATGCTATTATATCATTTGCAAACAAATGGATGGGCCTGGAAAAAATTATGTTAGATGAAATCAGGCCCAGGGAGACAAATAATTAATGCTTTTGCTCACATGTGGACACCAGAACTAAGGTAAATGTACAAGTAGATACATATGAGGTCATATACAAGTATACCCAAATGTATTTACTGAAGTATGGTATTTGCAGGAGAGAATTCCTTAGAAAAACAAACTCACAGTCCAACAAAATGATTACCAGGAAATTGGCACATGAAAGGTGGCAGGGGAAGGGGCAAGAGCATGGGGTAGAGGAATAAGAAGGAGGAATTCAGTCATAATATTGATCTGTATCCTATAAAACTAAGAACACTGAGGAGAGGTGAAGGGGTTGAGAGAGTGGAGGAGAATCATGAAGGGGTGGCATCAACCAAGATACATTGTACTTATAGACTGATTTGTTGAATGGTAACTCCATTGTACAACTACTTAAAGATGACAAAATTAGGATTTTTTATGAAGCAAAACAAAGTCTAAACAACAACAACAAAAATGAAACAGATAAGCAAGATAAGCCTGCTGCTGTCCAGCCAATCCATTTTCTTCCTATGAGAAGGCAAAGACATTTCCCAAAGAAAATTCTGTGCTCTTGTTAAGGTTTGAGCCATTAGAGGGCTCTGTGGGACTGACAGATTTCTGTCTCAGTCTAGATGGATTCTGTCCATGTGGACAGGATCCCTGCTTTGATGACAGGGGTCACAGGTCAAGGGGCACAAAGCCACAGTAGACTGGAGATGTGTTACTCATCACATTTGGTCGTCTGGGCAGGGTTAGCACAATTGCTTTTCTTCCTCATTAAACACATATTAAAAATAGCAAACTGGAAACATAAACTGGTCTTGTTAATGTAAGATGTGTTATTCAGGAAAAAAATTAAAACAATATTTTGATAGATCATTAGATATTAATGTACCTGGGAAAAAAACCTTCTTATATACCCCTAAACTCTCTAGTTTTCAATGTTTCTTTATAGTTAACATCTCATTTTCTCCAGGGATGCTATTTTATTTCTTTTATCATCCATCTGTGCCCTGTAAGACACATTATTATGACACATTTTGACGTACAAGTCAATCACTATATTGAAAGCACATACATAAAATGTGTCTGGGTCCAGTAGTCCCAAATATGGGACGTATTAAGTCACACAATTGTCAATGAGGCAGTGATAAAGGGTCAGAACACACATTTCCATGAAAGAAATCTGCTTGTTCATGGAGGAACTTGTTCAATGCTCGTAGGTTTGTATCACATGACTAACAAAAATGTTTGCACCATAGGGCAGGGGGGATCCCAGGACCAGCTTCAGATGGGCAATGGGGTCTCCTTAGACATGGAAATTAACTGACCCTATATATGCTGGATCAAGAACTCTGCCACCCAGGCTGAAATACCACATAAAGTCTACTTATATCCACAGAGGAACCAACAGCTGGAGAAACAACAAACACCCTTCAGGAAGAGGTGGCATTGGTCTATTTTTAAATAAACCTAGATAGTCTCACTCAGGAACCTCAACAGCAGATGGGAACATAAATCTGTCTCACTGCCCTCTCTCACATCATGACAAAAGACAAGTGGACATTAGAGAGGAACTCCATTCCAACCACATCAGCTGGGACCAGGTTGCTTCTCAGATTCAGAAGAATAACAGCATAACTACTCTCTTCTGCTCCCTCCTCTCCCTGCCACCCCACATTAAAAGAAAACAATACAAATAACTCACAACTCCCAAAACATATCTTCCTAATAGCCTCTGGAGGGTAGCTGTTTTGAATTCAGCTGGCAGAATAATGGACATGACACACAGACAAGCAGGTGATATAAGGCATTGGCATGGAGGAACCCTGAAGAGCAACACAAAGCTGTAGTAGAGCCTGGATGAGGAGCTCCACAACTCAAATGTGACCACAGCCAGAGCTGGAGAATAGGGGCTTCTGTTTTGAAAGGATTCTTCTCCCTTCCCCCTGCTCTTCAGTAATTCCATTACTCTGGCTCCACAGTACCAGCAAAAGTGAATGCTCCCAGTACACAGGAGCCTCTCCTAACATTTGATCCTCTATATATACCCCCACGAAGGGTCCTTACCTAGGAGCCAACAAACTTCCTATCAGAAGAAAGAACACTCAGAACCTCTTCTTCAGAACTTCTAAGTGTCATGTTCTTGCCACTTGACTGTCCTTAGCTAAGTACACAAGTCCTTGCCTTTGATGGAGCTGAGAGGGTGCCCTAGCAAAATCAACTGAGTGAGGGCTTTCTTAACTTAAAACACTCTCACTGGAAATTCATATAGCATAAAAGAATATGAGGGTAGGCAGTGGCAAAGACAATGGAAAGCAAAACTTGGAAATTAAAACTGATCCTAAAACCGGGTGAAGGTGGCTCATGCCTGTAATCCTAGCTACTCAGGAGGCTGAGATCTGAGGATCATGGTTCAAAGCCATCCCTGGCAGGAAAGTCCGTGAGACTCTTATCTCCAATAAACCACCAGAAAACTGGAAGTGGTGCTGTGGCTCAAGTGATAGAGCACTAGCTTTGAGCTGAAGAGCTGACGGACAGTGCCCAGGTCCAGAGTTCAAGTCCCACAACCAACCAAAAAAAAAAAGAAGAAGAAAGAAAGAAAAAAAAAAGAAAAAGAAAAAAGCTGATCCTAGCAGATGAACATAATAGCTCAACATCTATGTACATACAACCATATAAGATGGTGCTAAGTGAAATGAACGCCAAGACATAGACACAAGAGGTTTTTAGTTGTTGCTATTTTTAATGCACTATGTGATTTCTTATTTCTTTTGTATTTTTCCTCCTATTATGGTTTATCCCCTATTGTTGCTTAACTTGATGTTGGTACCCTGGTATTGTATATACATTTATCTCAATTAGGGAAGGGCAGGGGATCAACAGAATGGTCAGACCAAGGACGAGGGGGAGCCAATGCAACAGCGACACTCACGAGGCAGTATGTTGGAAATGATCTGTACAACTGATGGGGGAGGGATGGCGGGAGGGAAAGTAGGAGAAAAATGAGGGAGGGGTAACAAGTTCAACAAGAAATCTACTCATTACCTTACTTATGTAACGTAACCCCTCTGTACATAATTTTGACAATAAAATTTTTTTATTGTGAAAATACTGTACAGAGGGGTTACAATTACATGGGCAAGATAATGAGTACATTTCTTATCAAGCATTGTAGCCTCCTCCTTTGTTTCCTCTTCCCATCCCACAATAAATTTTTTTTAAACTGCCAACAATTGCTATCAGGGCTATCAGCAGGGGCTAGGTATGGTCATATAACTCTAAGACAGCCATCTCCACCAACACACCAACACACACTCTTCCTACACACTAAGAAATACACATTTCTTCCATCTCAAAGAAGCTGCTAAATCACACTGCAAACGTGGAGCTTATGAAACACAATTCCCTATACAAATTACAGAAGGAAGAAAACCATTGCTCAAAACACAGTACCTTTCAATAAATGTTCTCATGGGAACAAAAATCAGGATTTTTGTTCTACCTCATCGCACCCAAATTTTGGCTTTCTGAGTTTCTTGTTATCAATTTGCTGCCTCTGCCATTCTCAATGAGACGTGACCGTAACTAGTCACATTAAACACAATATTAATTAATCACAATATTCTTAGTGACAATGCTCAACAATTATATCCCACCACAATTGTGGCATACCACTTCCTATGCAGTGTGACTATTGTTTCTGAGTCTAAGAAGAGACACCATGGGCATCTCTGGGGACTTTCACTTTTAAGGAGAGCATTTTGGTGGCCCAGAACCAGGATTGGCTGTAATTACACTATCACTTCACCAACACATCAATGAGTATCTTGAACATGTGCACACTTTCTATTATTTCTTTGGCATCAAAACAATAAAATACTAATGTTAAATATGTTTTTTTGAAACATGAAAAGATGCCCAATAAAGTAAAGGAGTAAAGGTCAAAACTATATCAAAATACCATCTGATTTTAAGAAACCAAATTGATCTAAACTGAGGGAAAAACGAAAGAACAAAAGAAAATAGACCCACATGTATTAACAGTTACATCACAGAGGGATGATTTAAGAGATTCTTAAAAATTCTTCAGTTTGTGTCTTTCAGTATTTTTCTAGTTTTCTGCAATAATTATACTACTGTGGATGAAAAATAAGAGTATGTAAATACACCCTCCATTTTAGAATGTTTTCAACGTGCAAAGTAATTAAAATAATCCTCTCTCTCGGGGCTGGGAAGGTGGCTCAGTGGTAGAGCACTTGCCTTGTATGCATGAGGCCCTGGGTTCAATTCCTCAGTACCACACAAGCAAAAAGAAAAAAGCCAGAAGTGGTGCTGTGGCTCAAGTGGTAGAGCGCTAGCCTTGAGCTGAAGAGCTGAGGGACAGCACCCAGACCCAGAGTTCAGGCCCCATGACCGGACCAAAAATAAATAAATAAATAAAATAAAATAAAATAATCCTCTCAGAATTATCATGTTGCCACTTTCTCTAAGGGCCAACCCCTGAGAATTACTCTACCAAGATATATAGAGTTCACTGGCATCCAGATCAACAGCAAGCCCTCACCTGGGAAGATCCCAGATCAACAGCAAACCCTCACCTGGGAAGGTGTTGTCACATTGATCTCTGGAACGAAGTTGTCTTCAAAGAAATTGATGATGTTCTCCTGTTGCAGTTCCTTGGTTGGGGTGACCTTAGGCAGAGGTGGAACTGGAGGCCCTTTCCTTGTCTAGGGACCATCAAACACAAACAGTAAAGCAGTCAAAGGTGTAGTTGTGAGGCAAAGAAATATCACAGGAACAGAGCTACTGACAAACTGATCTCTAATCTAAACACAGACCTGTATAGACATTTATACTTAATTCAGGTCAAGCATACTGTCTACCTGGAAGTTCCATGAGCACCAACCAATAGGCAATGATCCGATGGGACATACTTAGCCCACAAGATGTGTGTTCATCTGAGCTCAAGCCCCACACAAAGGCCTTTGGGGCCTCTGAGAGAGGCCAAACTGGTGCCCAACAAAGGCAATGTGTTCTGTGAAAATGATTTTATCACTTGGACAAAAAGAAAACATCAGAATTTCAAAACTAAAATCCTTCGAATAAGTTTGACCATAGGCAACTTCCATTTTACTTGCTACTCTAAGAGTTTGAGGTAAATCTATTAAGTATGTATTCTTACAATTTTCCTTAATTTCAACTATGTTCATGAAAATTTGAACTAGACTGCGAACTTCAAGTTTTCCAACAAGAAATCTTGGATTACCCCAAATAGGGAGAGTAAGAGTGGTAATTTTTCTCCATAGTTACCTTTGCCCGACTCTCACTGATTCTGCTCAGCCAAATGATGTATGCAGTTTTCTTGAGTGTTTATTTAAGTGCAATGCACTGTGGTGAATAGGGAAAAATGTACAAAATAACACATAAGTAAAACCACTCTTCTTGCCCTAAGTACAAACAAAAGCACTAGAAAAGCCATTTAGATGAGAAGGTAGGATAAAAAGGCACTTTGGAAGAGCAGACAAAATTTCTTTTTGTGTTTTTTGTGTCAGTCCTGGGGCTTGAACTCAGGGCCTGGGGGTTGTCCCTGAGGTTTTTGGCTCAATGCTAGTGCTCTACTTCTTGAACCATAGCTACGCTTCTGGCTTCTGGGTATTTAATTGGAGTTAAGAATATCATGGTCTTTCCTGCCCAGACTGGCTTTGTCCTATGATCCTCAGGTCTCAGCCTCCTCAGTAGCTAGGATTATAGGCATGAGCCATCACTGCTTGGCTGTTTTTGTTTTTATTGTGTTTTAGAGCTGCTGGGGATAGAACTCAGAACCTGTTGTATACAAAGCAAGTGCTCTAGCACTGTGCTGGACTCCCATTTATTAAGAGAGAACTTTGAGAGCCAGACATGGTTGAGTCGGGACACAAATTAGCCTGAGGAAGCTAAGGATGCCAGAAGTCCCAGAGATTCAACCACAGGTGTTAAGTAAAAACCAAGACCAATAGAAGGATTCCTCTGTGGTAACCTACCCCAATGGAAAGACCAACCTAAGCCCTGGACCACAGAATGTCCCCCAGGGGTCACCTCCCCGGCCAGCTGTCCCACTACCCCGCAGGTGTGTTCTCTTCCCACCTGTGAAGGTGACCTTGGCCGCACAGGCACAGGGGATGCAGGTGCGAGAGTGTGATTGGGGCCAGCGGTGGGGCTCGGCGGGGGTGAAGGCTCTTCTGGTGGTGTTGGCGTCTTTGCGATACGGAGAGGGCCCGAGTCACTGGGTAGACACAGGGGATTAAAAAGGCCTCACTCAATCAGGGGGTCTCCAACCTGCACCACTCGGCAGGTTAACTCTGGTTATCAGAATCAGTGACAGTGAGGCCTAGTCCTTCTGTTATTCTTCCTGAGAGCCAGATCTCATGCATAGATTATCTGTTCTCCTCACCTAAGCAAGGCACTACTGTCTCCACTAGACAGGGATGAAAATAGGAGCACAGAGAGGTTAAGGCAAAACCTTAAGGTGGATCTGAATTCAGCTCTTAGTCTTTCCACTTTAAAAGAAAGACTCCCTGACATGAAGCTAGACTCATTTGTTCTCCAAGAGAATCTTACAGAAAAATCTATAGAAAATCCTACTGAGAAAACTGTGAATCTTGTATTCAAAGGCCCTTCAGGAAAGGGTGAATACATCTCTTGTAGATTTTATAACATCTTGAAATAAATTCCCTATTTCTTTCTTTCTCCACCTTTTGAAACAATGACTCAAGCCAGACACCTTGCAGCATGTAAATCAACCTTGTGACAGATGAGGTCACTAATAAAACGTTCCTGAGAGCCACACACAGTCCCAGCACCAAACTAGACATGTGGAGACAGCTAAACAAGGAGACTAATATGGTACTAGGGACACATTCTACTCTCTAAGAATTTCTAAAGACTACAGCCAGAAGGAAGTGAGTCTGTACTGTCAATGAAGAGAACATAAACAGCAGCATGGTCTACACAGTCAAGGGTGAGGGATCTGTGTCCTCCAGACAACAGATGCCCACATGATTGGGCCCCTCATTGGTAACCATGGCTTTGATGGGAAACACAGCCCTGGTCTACAGTCCAAGGGACTTCACAGAACTCACTCACCACCTTGCTCTGCAGAGGAATGGAGGGGGGAAAAATGAAAGGAATATTTGTTAAATGGCAGCCACCCTGCCTTCTCCTCACTCTAGTCAAGACTGAGCAACTCTGACATTTCTAGAGGCATATGCCCCTTCCTTTTCCAAGTAAAGGAGTGACTCTTCACAGTTTAAGGGGTTTAGTGTGACATTCTGAGATTCCTATTCTTTTGTCATTTGTTCCCAGCTTACTATTGAAATCACCATTTTGAAACAAACTCTATCCCTTTGATGTGTTACTGTTTGTACATTCATTTGTTCGTTTTAGTGAGACTGGGGCTTGAACTTCAGGCCCTGCATTTACCAGGTAGGTGGCTCTACCACTTGAGCCACATCCCCAGCTCTTTGGAAAAATTCTTTGTTTTCTGAATTTCAAAAGAATGGGGTAAAACTTAATGCGTCCATGTAAATGTTCAGTATTACCCCATCCCATCATCCTCCCCCTCCAGACTTATTTTAGGTTTCCTATTTTGTCACATATGCCCATTGGATATTCTGCTATTTGTCCTCTGTTCCTCCCACTAGACACCCTTCCATTTTCATTTCAGCTTCTAATATCCTTTGCAGGAAACTGTGAGTTGTTTGAAAGTATACTCTATGGAAATGTAGTCCTCTATTGACTGTACTTCAGTCAGCTAGCTTGTATCTCTAGGGCATGCCTCTCTGTGTGATAATGGGGCAGCTGGTATTTTAGCTATCAGTAGGAGGATCCCACTCTGGACTAACGTAGGCTAAAACATGAGACCAGATCCAAAAGCAAAAGGACTTGAGGGAGGGTACGTTCGTTTTTTGTTTGCTTTGAACAGGGTCTCACCATTTTTTGCACATGGCTAGCCTTGCTAGCATCCTCCTCTGTAACTGGGATAACAGGTGTGCACCTCACCCCAGCTTATTGGCTGGGATGGGGGTCTCACTAACTTTTGCCGAGGCTGGCCTCAAACTATGATCCTCCCAATCTGTGCCTCCTAACTAGCTGGGGTGACAGAGGTGAACCACCATGCCTAGACTTCATTGCTCTTTTAAGCCACATTCATGCCCTCAGAGAGAGGATGTGTTCACTGCCCACTTAGAAAAGCAACTGTAACAGGCTCAGCCAAACCAAAGAGCAGGGGGACCAGAACTCCTGAAAAAAGTCCAGACACTCATATCAGTAAGTAACAGATAATATTAAATAGATGCTAAGATGGCATGGCAAGTGCTATGCCTATAGATGTTTCTATGAATGAGTGTTTGCACTGTTTGATGTTATCACACGTACAGACTATCATGACTACACAATACTCTAGAAGCCATGCAGTCAAGTAGTTGTTTACAATAGATTTCAAAACTGAGCTCATTAACCAGAGAGGTTATTAGACTAAGTGAAAGAAAGCAAAACAAGTTAATCTCGGAGGCATACAACTGGAAACGGAGGTTTCTGACTTCCAGCCTGAGGCTGTGTACCTGCATGGTCTAAGCACACATGCCTGAAAGATACGGCATGACATTGATTCCAGAATCATAAGAGAAAGCGGATATGAAGCCAGACTCACGGCAAGGTGAACCATCCACCTGCACACCATGCACTGTGGTCCTTGGGCCCTGGCTATTATTTGATTGGCCTGCTGCCAAATGGGAAAGCAATGAGGCAAGAACAAAGCTATGCTTGCAGATCAGTACCCAAGAAGAGGGAAGAGGGAGGTTAGGTGTCTCTCCTACTTCTGTCTTTTCTACTGAAGTAGCAAGTCAAAACCAGCTATCATGATTACATGTGATTGCTCACAGGTCCCATGTAACTCAGAGAGGGGCAGTGAGCCAATTAAGCTGCAATAACAAGGATCAAAGACTGGATGCAATGTGAAAGGCCTAAACTAAGGTTGGTGTCAGCCTGTGGATGGAGTCTAGCTCTATTGGGACGATTAAAGGATGAATAAAGTGGCCCAGGCCACTGCACAGACTCCCAGCAAGCTCAGCAGGGGGCGTATCACATACAGGCGTGTGGGAGTGAACTGGCCTCTGGGAGTGAACAGGTGTGGGGCCTACCTGGGAGCTCCTTGAATGGTGAAGGCCTTGTCTGCATGCTGGTCACCCAGTTTCGTCATCACTTCAAACAGTTTGTGGCAAAGCTGAGGGGACAGAAGCCACTGGTCTGTTATCCAAAGTTACCACCACGGTGCCCAACCCTGCACGCTCCCCAAAGGAAGCTAACGATGCCTTGAGAGGCGGGGCGGCCTCAATCCTTGGAATTCTGTATATGATCTCAATGTACAATCCACAACAAAACTGCAGTAAGCTAAAAAGGAACTAGAAGATATCATTTGAAGACAGACATATTCATTCACAGAGTAGAGAGCACAACTCAAGTTTATTAGTGACTTTGTCTCTGCTAGAACTTGTCAAATTACTACTCTCTGGAACCAGGAAACTATGCATCAGTAACAGTGCTGCTGATATCTGACTATTTTGAGACCATTTTTTTTTCCATCAGATTCATGCACGACTTGAAATTCTGACTTTACACACTGAATGGAAGTTGCAACTGTGAAGCTACAGTCAGCCTTTTAAAAGATTTAGAAAACTAGCCAGGCATAGTGGCTTACACCTTTACGCCCAGCTACTCAGGAGGCTGAGATCTAAGGATCACGGTTCAAAGCCAGCTGAGGCAATAAGGTCTGTGAGACTCTGATCTCCAATTAACCGCCAAAAAATCCAGAAGCAGAACTAGGCTCAAGTGGTAGAGCACTCGCCTTGAGCAAAAGAAGCGGAGGGAGAGCACCCAGGGCCTGTGTTCAAGCCCCAGGACCACAAACAACAATGCCAATGCAGAGAACTATGTGGCCACACTACAAAAAAAGAAAAAGAAAACCATTTTAAAAACAACTGTGCAAAAATGACAGAAAATAAATATAGGAGGCATCAGAAGCCAGGAGAATAGTTTGAAAAATGCTAAGCTACTACTTCATTTTCTTCCAAAGGAACATTCTTTTACATTTACTCCATTACTCACCACGGCAATTTCCTTATGGAATTTGGCTTCCAGGCTGGACACATTTTTGAAAGTATTGACATAAAATCCAACTCGTCTGCCATGTGGAAAGAAAACGGAGGATAGAGAGAGATAGTTAACAAAAATGGGCTTTTGTGTGTGCTGGTACTAGAGCTTGAACTCATGTCCGCATGCTTTCACTCAAGGCTGGCACTCTTGACACTTGAGCCACAGGAGGTAAGAATCTCCAACTTTCCCTGCCCTGACTGGCTTTGGATCACAATCCTCGGATCTCAGCCTCCTGAATAGTTCGGATTACACGCATAACCTTCCAGTGCCAGACTAAAAATACTATATTAAAATTAGGGTTACTTTCTTCCTTTGAACTCTGGTCCTGGATACTGTCCCTGAGCAATTTTTACACAAGGCTAATGCTCTACCACTTGAGCCATAGCTCCAATTCCAGCATTTTTATGCTTAATTGGAGATAAGAGTCTCATGAGCGTCCCTGTCTGGGCTGGCTTTGAACTGTGCCTCTCAGATCTTAGCCTCCTAAGTAGCTGGTGTACAGTGTCACGGTGCCTAGCAAAATTAGGTTTTCTCTACACAATTTTGAATAATGTTGGATTGAATGGAATAGTTAAACCAGAGTATGCGTGACTTTCCCTCACCAGCTAATAAACACAAATTCATGTTTTAGAATAGAGTATATGTCTCTCCTTGAAATTCAGGCCCCTCTGTAAGACAGTGATTCTCATTATTCATATGCACCAGAGTGCCTAGGGTATTTACTCTAACTCAGATCCCAGAATGCTGATCAAGAAGGTCCACCTACCATGAGTTTCTAGAAACTATACTGTGGTAACCACTGCCCTGAGAAGCTGCTTCTGTTTTAGGTATGGATCTCAACAAGTTTGGAGGTCGACAAGATTACTTTTCATGTTCACTCCACATAAATGGTCTAGCTTCAGTATTAAATATTTGGATTCCTCAATGCATGTAATGGAGGTAAATACAAAACCTTAAGATAACTCCAGCATGAAGAGCATGCTGTCATTGGGCAGGCTGCCTGCTCAAACATGTTTGAAGGGTATTCTGGTACAAAACCAAAAGTCTTCCTGCCGTCATTCTTTGATCTCGAATATTAAGCCAGAGGTAGACTCTGTCTAGTACCCCCTCAGGATACATTCCCTCATTTCTAAATGAGGAATCTTGGGACTTTATATTAACTTAATCCTTCTTAATGCATCTGAGAAAATTACTATCTTAATTAAATTCATGGAATTGTTCTGATGGTAAGTCTCAAAAAGAACTATAGAACCCCAATGGCTTTATTAGATTTTTAAATCTCAATTAAGGATTAAATAGGGACTGATATGTCAGAAATATGTGGATCTGATACAGGTGACAGCACATATTGAGAGAGTTTACAACACACTTGGAAAGTAAGAAGGAGAAGGTTTAAGGAAAGAAGGAGAAAGAACTACCAGTGTTTGAGTTGTACCTTGCAGTACACAGAATTCTAATGGAGAGAGAGACAGAGACAGAGAGACAGAGACAGAGACAGAGAGACAGAGAGAGACAGAGAGAGAAATATTCCATCCAAAGCTGACAGGACCAATGGGCGTCCAGTACTTCATCCCTGCATTCTCAGAACTGCTCTGGAGACCATTGCCCCATTTTACCTGGCAAGCTGAGACACAGGCTGCTCAAACCATGCAGTTAACATGTCAAGAACCAACATCTCTCCCAAAAAGAAAAAGAAAATCATGAAATACTTAAAAAGAACTATTGTAGAAGCCTGAATTTTGTTATTTTGCTGCATGAGCTAAGGAGGTTTAGAATTTGTAAGTGAAATCGAAGCTTGAAAGTTTAGTTTAGAGAAACAGTAAATCCATTTTTCCAATAAGGCTGGCTTCTGTTGTGGGCAATCCTGTACCTGACATTTTCACTTAATCCTATGTTTTGTATCCCCACAGTGACCATGTGACCCTCATTATATATATTTTATTTTATTTTATTTTGGTGTACTGGGGTTTGAACTCAGGGCCTTGTGCTTGCTAAGCAGGTGCTGCACACTGGACACTGTCCCTGAGCTTCTTTTGCTCAAGGCTAGCACTCTACCACTTGAGCCACAGCTCCACTTCTGGCTTTTTCTGTTTATGTGGCACTGAGGAACTGTACCCGGGCTTCATGCATACTAGGCAAGCGCGCTAGTGCTAACCCACATTCCCAGCCCGCTTTAGTTAGTTTTACAATATATTCTTCTGTTCTTGTCAAGGGCTACCTTTAGACCACTATCTTCCTACCACATGGCTGAGAGCACAGGTATGAATCTCCACGCTCACTTTATTGGGTGAGATGAGGTCAGCTGACTTCAAACCTCAATCCTATCCACCTCTCCCTCCCAAGTGGCTGGGATCACAAGAGTGTGCCATCATATCTAGCCCTTTCATATACTTGAATTTTAATTGACATTAAATCATGTACTTATTCACACATGTGGGCCTACACAGCTCTCCATGTATATAGTTGCTGTATCTTCCGATTCAAATGCTTATCACAAATACTAGGAAAACACTGGGCGTGGCCATTTGAGCCTTTACCAGCTACATGGGAGGCAGAAACATGATGATCCCAGTTCAACACCAGCCCAGAAGAACAGGTCCCATGTGGTTGTTCTGTGATCTGTACTGCATGAGAGGAGTAGGTCGGAGGACCACAGGCCCCTCTGGTCCTAATCTTGCCATCTAAGTCACCCACACACTAATGTTTCCAGTCTCCTTGGTAAGCTCTAGGCCTAGCTGTTGCAACAGACATATGCTTTTGGACATTTCAACAATCTTCAAACTCAGCTTATATAAAACAGAACTCAGTGTTTTACTAAAAATGCCCTTTTCTTTATATATTCCTTAAGTCCTTGAAAGAAGCCTTCTTTAACCACTCACACTACCCTGGTCACCCATCTTGTGCAATTCACTATCGCATTACAATTCAAACTTACTGCCTCAGATTTTATTTGTTATTTCTTTTCCTGTAATTGCTGTTCACTATTTTCCCATGTAGGCTCCAAGAAAACAAACAAATTTAGGACCTGACCTTGAGCATCTCAGAGAGGGCCTGACTCACATTGGATGGGCAGTCAATAAATATTTAATGATAGAAGGAAATAACTCCGACCCCTACCTCTCTCCTAAGTTCTCACCACAACCCTCCTGGGCACTCTTGCTCCAACTTCATGATGCATTCAATTAATTAAAGTTCCACAAACCCCAATCCCCATTACATACAATATTCCTTTACCAAAGGCTGACTTCACTGATTTGAAATCATTTAGCTCAAGCATTCCCTCTGGGATACTTCCTTCTTGACAAGAATATATCATCATTATCTCTGATAAATTACAAGTTCCTTTATAACATTTAGACAGAGATGGAAGTGTGACTCAGTGATACAATGCTTGTTTAATATGTAGGCTCAGTACTGAGCAAGACAGTAAAATAAAGAAATAAAATAGCCAAACATAACCAATATCCTTTGCTGAAATTAAACCTGCACCCCCACTAAGTAGTAATTCGTTATTTTTCATTTATACAAATACTTCTGAAACAATTTAATATTATAGAAGCAATGGGGGAGTAGAGAGACAAAAAAGCATATAGAAAGCAAGTAGATATAAATCTTGTATTATCAGACTATATTACGTCTGTATTAAATTCTAGAAGTGTTACATTATTAAAAACTAAATTAAAGATAAATGGACTCAGTAAACATACCAAAAGGAAGAAGTTGGTAGAACGGATAAACACACACACACATACACACACATATATACACACATAAATGATCTATCTTAATATTGAGTAAAATTGGAATACTGTACATTCAAACCAAACAGACTGAAAGCAAAAAGATGTAACACACAAAGCGGGGGGGAGGAGTAGCTATAATAGTATCAGATAAAATAGGCAAAATTTATTGGTAGGAACAAAAGCAGATATTTTATTTATTAAAATGAACTGCTCAACTACTAAGAAGCACATCAATTAAAAAACACATACACACTTAACAATGGAGCTCAAATATATAGAAAGCAAAAGCTGACAGAAAAGATGTGAGAAATATACCTAAACTCAGTTGGAGCTGGCAATATCTCATTTTCCGTCATGATCAGAAAAATTAGATGCAGGATTAGTAAGGAAATAAAAGGAGTTGAAAACACTATAGTCCAAAAGAACTTAACAGATGGAGAGCATTCCGCTCACATTCTGAATGGATGTGAACAGGTTGGTACAGGATTTCACGCAAGTCACTTAACACACGTCCGTTATGGTATGTTCATTGTTTTACTTTTCCCCCATAGAAGGCATAGGAAACTCAAAACACTAACCTCAATTTCAAGTTTGAGCAATAAAACTGGGAAAGGAATTGTACTTGGAAAATAACTTGGACAATTAAGACTGAATGCAATCTCCTTATAGCTAAAAATAGATCCTAGATAAAGGCTGCAGGGTTCATGGGGGAAAAACACAATATTTTACATATTAGCTGTAGGTTATATAAGCTTCATAAACTTAGTCAAGATGTTTAATTAATATGACCCTTAGATGCCTCATCTGTAAGATGGAAACACCATGATTAAGATTAAACAATGAGAAGTACAAAATGTCATGTCAAAACCAGCTTTACAATGTCGGTGTGGGGGGCGGGGGAAGGGGGGTATGATTGGGTGGGGGGGAGGGGGGAGGCTGGGAAGGGAGGTGAAGGGTAAACAAAGGAGGAGGCTGCAATGCTTGGTAAGAAATGTATGCATTATCCTGCCCATGTAATTGTAACCCCTCTGTACAGTATGTTCTCAAATAAAATAAAATAAAATTAAAAAAAATAAAAATAAAAAAAATAAAATTAGAAAAAAAAAGAAAAAATAGAAAAAAAGATTAAAATTAGAGACAATGTACATCAGGCACATAAAGTAATAATCAGCAAAAGAAGGTATTCTAAAATAACTTTTTTCTTCTAACAAACATACACAGACACACAGACACACACAGACACACACAGACACACACAGACACACAGACACATACCCCTAATACTGTAGATCTGGATTTAAGTTAAAAAAAAACAACATAACATATAGAAAGGAAAAACTACGTCAAATTTTGACCAGAGGGCAGGTTTTGGCTTGACTATCCTGAATAATTAGTTTCAGAGTGATAAATCTGACTCAATTACAAAGTATTGATAGCCAGGTGTCCATGGCTCAAGCCTGTAATCCTAGCTACTCAGGAGGCTGAGATCTGAGGCTCAAGGTTCAAAGCCAGCCCGGGCAGGAAAGTCCATGAAACTCTTATCTCCAATAAACCACTAGAAAACCGTAAGTGAGCACTCACCTTGAGCTAAAGAGCCCAGGGACAGTGCCCAAGCCCAGAGTTCAAGCCCCACGACCGACAAAAAAAAAAAAAAGTATTGATATACCTTACTTATATAACTGTAACCCCTCTGTACATCACTTTGACAACAAAAAAGAAAACAATATCTAATTTTTAAAAGTATTGGAAAATATTTCGTACATGAACTAAGAAGAGGAAAGGATCCTTTCCAATGCTTTCTCTCAGAAATTCCATTTGTTTTTTAAATCTCTACAAAGTCTTTCATACAGTGAGACATTCTGACAAGTACTTCATTTCTTAGTAATTGAATACCTTTAAGCAAAGAACACATAAGCCCACACAGTTGTCAGTTAATGCTAATTTAGGATGCTTTTACAAATAAGTACAAAAAAGTTCAGTTACATATCCAAATCATACTAATCCAAATGGTATATATTTGTCTGTGGGCAATTATTCCCAAGGGTATTATTTCATAATTATCTACTGACAATCTCCCAGAATATTAACTTCACCACTGAAAATTTTGAATACGAAGGTAGTCAAGCATTTCAAAATATCAGCTTAAAAAGCAATGGGGATGTGCATAGTGGCATATGCCTAGAATCCCAGCTACTCAGGAGACACAGGTGGAGGATTTCTGTCTGAGGCCAGTCAGGACCAACATAGCTTGAAACTCTATCTGAAAAACAAACTACAAGCAGGACTGAGACATGACTGTAGAATCCAAAACAGGTAGCTGCTAACCGTATGTGGCTATTCAAACTGAGTTAGATCTAAACCAATTTAAAATTCAGCACTTTGGTGTCACTAGCCATATGTCAAGCACCCAATATATCCTTGTGTGGAGATTCAGTGCCATGCTAGAAAGTGCAGACCCAGAGCACATCTCCTGGATATCACTGGAAGACACGCAGAAACATATTTACCTTGACCACAGTGATGGCAACTCTTCTTGTAAGTCAACATTAAACTCTTCAAACACTTTCTGCGCTTTCTGAAATTCCTCTTCTGCCTAGAAATGGTGCACAATACACATTTGCACACACAGACACACAAGCCATTTCTACAAACAACACCATCTGATTTAAAACAGAAATTGCTTTACGTATCCTGGAAAGATCCGGGAAAGGAAGGCACATTTGTTAAAATGCACACCAATTTTTTTTCAATTAAATATGAAATAGGAGGAGTTTTTTAACAGGGAACTAGATTGAGTATAGTGCTTTACCCTGTGCTGGTCACTGGTGGCCGATTCATTTATTCTACAAAAATGTGCTTGCTTACCTAACTTATGAAATGATAACCCCTTTGTACATCACCTTTATAATAATAATTAAAAAATAGTTAATTAAAATGTGATTGTTGGGGCTGGGAAGGTGGCTCAGTGGTAGAGCGCTTGCCTTGCATGCATGAGGCCCTGGGTTCGATTCCTCAGCACCCCATAAGCAAAAAGAAAAAAGCCAGAAGTGGTGCTGTAGCTCAAGTGGTAGAGTCCTAGCTTTGAGCTGAAGAGCTGAGGGACAGCGCCCAGGCCCAGAGTTTAGGCCCCACGACCGGGCCCCCCCCCAAAAAAAAAGTGATTGCTGCCTGTCACCTGGAAAATTTTACTCTGGCTACTGGAGATGAATGCCCCCTAGAAAGTCTCAATCTTCTTGGGTGACTAAATAATTGCCTGATGCATCTTCAGAAAGAACTAGCAATCCATTCTGCAACCATCTTATAGGGGAAGGGGTACAGAGAAAAGAGTAGGTTCCACAGAGAGGTCACATCTTAACTGAACCTTGAAGAACCAACAACCACTTGGTAAAGAAAAAGACCTGAAAGCATCACAATACATAAAAGAGGTGGTGGTGGTCCTTGGGATAGAAGTCTAGTTTCTCTCATGTGGATCTGGTTTGCTCTTCGTATCTGTACCTCAGTGGCTAAGATGAATATGAAGGAAAGGCAATGCAGATGAAGGGATAAACAGAGTTCCTGGCATCTGGGACACCGCCCTTGAATGGATTGATTACTGTGGCTGCTCAGGATGTCGAGCAGGTCACATAGGGTCTGCTTTGCATGTGTGTGTGTATATATGTACATGGGGTGGGGGAGTGAGGAGCAAGGAAGTACTTGAATGCTGGAATGAATAGATAGCAGGGGTGTTAACCAAATTGTGAAGGTCCTACACGCCATGCAAAGGAATTTTAATCTTTTTATCCTTTCTACAGGCAATCAGAGCCATAACAAGAGTTTAGCAGTAGAGAAACACAGCTAAACATGAGCTGAAGAAAGACCACTACTCAGGCAGCTGCGCTCAGGCAGAAAAGCAATACTGAGCCCACAGGGAGCAGTGGGGAGGTGGTTATCAGTTAGCTGGTATTTGTAAATGACTTGCATACAAAACAAAAACAACTGAAATGGGCTTTCTAAAAGAAAATTAATGATATGAATGCCTGTATTCTTACACGATCATGAGTTGTCTGAGAATTTCTAGCTTGATTCCCCAGCATAATCTACATTAAAGCAGGGACCACAGAGCATAGCACACAGGGAAGTTCTGACACAAGCAAGACTTGTAGTCCTATCACAGAGCAGTGGAGCCAAATTTATACTGATCAAAATGTGTGAGTCAATCTCACTCATGTACACTCTGTAATTACACAAAAGTCCTTTTTTTGATTAAAAACAATGGAAAGGGGCTGGAAATGTGGCTTAGTAGTAGAGTGCTTACCTAGAATGCATGAAGCCCTTGGTTCGATTCCTGAATACCACATAAACAGAAAAAGCCGGAAGTGGTGCTGTGGCTCAAGTGGTAGAGTGCTAGCCTTGAGCAAAAACAGCTCAGGGACAGTGCCCAGGCCCTGAGTTCAAGCCCCAGGACTGGCCAAAAGAAAAAAAAAAGGAAAGGAGCTCAGAACATTCAGTTTCAGTCTGTCCTGAATAGTAAAATTAAAGATGCAACAGAGCAAGTGACATGAAAAACTAGAAATAATTGTGGGATCTACTGCAGGATCAACTATGGGATTCACTGTGGGATCGACAGCGGGATCTGCTATGTGACCCATTGTGAGAGCCACTGTGGGGTCCACTGTCTGCTTATGATCTGCTGTGAGAGCCACTGTGGGGGGTCAACGGTGGGATGCACTGCGGGATCAGCCCCTACCTTAGAGATCCGGCTCTCATCCTTCCTCTTGGAGCTCTGCAGGGCCTCCAGGTGGTGGCGGGCACTGTCGTAGTCCACCAGCTTCCGGCTGCGCTTGGCGATGCGATTCTGACAATGGGGAAACAGAGGCATTGAGAAAAAGATGTCATCATAGAGGCTGTCTAACAAATGTCACAAATGCTTTCTTCATCTGAAGAAGCCGAGGATTTTGACAGAAGGTGGAGGTGTGCAAGGATTTCACTACCAAAAGACCCCTGGAAATCAGAATACAGCTTTTCCTTCATTATGTGGAAATGATTAGGAAAAAGATTTCTCTAATCTAAATAATCAGCCCAACCAGAGGAGCTGAAAGCTCCAGGTTGTATTCACAGATGGGGAAAATTCTAGAATTTCTGGTCTGAGGGAGAAGTCAAACCTGTACTCTAGATCTTAAAATATTCTAGTTCAGTAGAAAACTACTGTGGTTTTTAGAAAACGTCTGTGGTTTTTTAATAACACACACTAGCAACAATGCAATCAAACAAATTCACTTCCTAAGATATTCTTTCTCATACAAGATGATCTCCATCCTCTGCTCAGTACAGTCACCTGAGCTCATCCATCACTTTATCACTTTGCTGGTGTCTGACACACAGGCAGACTAACAGGCAAGCTATTCACCACCAGCTTCCGTCAATCACTGCGAGAAAGTCTGGAACAAGACACTTGTCTTGTAGTGTGAGCAGGTAGAATGAGGAGAGCTTTGGCTATAATCAATGGACCAAAAGCCCTGCTTACCTACAGGGACCATTTTCTCCTACTAAGCAAAATCTGTAAGACACTTAAGAAAAAGGCACCACAACAATGAGAAGTACAAAATGTCATGTCAAAACCAGCTTTACAATGTCGGGGGGGGGGGGGGGGGGGGAGAGGGGTATGATTGGGTGTGGGGGAGGGGGGAGGCTGGGAAGGGAGGTCAAGGGAAAAAAAAGGAGGAGGCTGCAATGCTTGGTAAGAAATGTATGCATTATCCTGCCCATGTAATTGTAACCCCTCTGTACAGTATGTTCTCAAATAAAATAAAATAAAATTTAAAAAAAAAGAAAAAGGCACCAAACTCTTTTTCCCATGGTAGAGAAAAGCCAAGCTGGCTCAGAGAGGGCTAAAGGTTTGATTCAACAGAGAACTACTAACAAACCACTAGCTAGCATTACTGACGAGAAAGATACAGAAGGACAGAAAACACTATGACTGTAGGCCAACATAATTGCTCTGTACTGCAAGAGAGAAGAGTAAACAAAACTGCGAACCTTGCGGGGAGGAGCCAAGGGCTGACTCCTCCCCCTCAGACACAGAAGGGATTTCCTGAGTTCAATTCCAAGCAATTAGCCTAATAATGAGAACTACCTCAGGACAAAATGCTTTGAAAACGATTCAGAAGCAGTTTTAAGAAAAAAAAGAGAGAGAGAGATGGCAGTCATGTGTATATTTATGCTTTTCAAAATATGGGCACACACTCATATCACAGAGGTTCAGAGAATCCTAGGTGTTGAAAGGGTCAATTATCTTTGTTCAGAGGCATTGGAGTTGCAGGAGAATAGCCTGAAACTTGCCCCGAATTGCCTGGCAAGTCCATGAAAACACAAGACTGGAATCAGAAGTCATCCCTCCCCCTGGCTCAGCACCAGGATGTGAGGCGAGCAAGACAGCTGGGATACAAGATGTGAGAGCCTCTTCCACTCAAGGTTGTCTTAGGCACATGGTGAGCATCTCGGGAGGCGCTGGCTGCCTCGGCCTGCCTCGCCCTGGGCTTCAGTCATTTCCAATAGCTACTACTGTGTGTGTCAAGGCTGCGGGCAAGGGACTACCTGTTACCTGGTCCTCCCTCCACAGCCCCATTAGGATCTGTGACAGGTGGTTGTGGACAGACGCTCTTACTTTCCTCCTCTCCTTCCTCTTCTTAGTCTTCCTCTTCCTCCTCCTCCTGCTGTTCTTCTTCCTGTTTTTCTCCTTCTTCCTTTTTCTTTCTCCTCCTTTTCCTCCTCCTTCTCTTTCTTCCTCCTTCTTCCTCTTCCTCCTCTTCTTCTTCCTCTTCTTCCTTCCCTCTTCCCCCTCTTATTATTATTATTATTAACAGTGCTAGGGTTTGAAACTCAGGGCCCCATACTTCACTTGAGTTGCTTGCTTAGCTAGTGCTCTACCACTTCAGCCATGCTTCCATGCCAGTTTTTTGTTGATTATTCTGGAGATGGGTATCTCCAGGGCTTTCCTTGAAACTTGATCCTCTATATCTCTACCTCTAGAGTAGCTAGAATTATAGGCACAAGCCACTGGAGTCCAACATGGAAGGCACTAATTTCAAGGCCACCCCTCTTTTGATAAATTACATTTTTGTGTTGGAAAAATGTCAGTCTTATTTCTTTTCCTCTATGACATTTGGGAAATTTGGTGGAAAACAATCTCAAAAGGACAGAGTTAATATTGTTGAGATTTTTGTTTTTTACAAAATAGGATACAATTCTTTTTTTTTTTTTTTGTCGGTCATGGGGCTTGAACTCTGGGCCTGGGAGCTGTCCCTCAGCTCTTCAGCTCAAGGCAAGCGCTCTACCACTTGAGCTACAGCGCCACTTCCGGTTTTCTGGTGGTTTTTTTTATTGGAGATAGGAGTCTCACGGTCTCTCCTGCCTGGGCTGGCTTTGAACCGCGATCCTCAGATCTCAGCCTCCTGAGTAGCTAGGATTACAGGTGTGAGCCACCAGCACCCGGCAGGATACAATTCTTATCCAGTACAACAATAATAAACTTAATGTAATAATAAATAGGTCAGTTTAAGTAACAATACATTTCCATTAAATAATGGGTTTAATTAAAACCTTCCACTGTGCACTGAATTTCTGCAGCTCAGAAGCTGTTTTTACCCTTTTAAAAAGAAAATAATAATCCTGTTGGCACACCGTGGCCACTACATGCCTGCCGAGTTAGAATCTAAACTGCACCCTTCCATAACTGCTCACAGCCGTGAGTCTGCTGGAGTCAGTGACAAGCAGGCTCTTTTTATGGCATTGAATTCACATGTGAACGCTGAAGAATGGAAACCATAACACAGGATGCCCTGCCAACACAGCAGGAAAAGCCAAACACCATCACCTTGTGAATGGTACTTCTTACCTCTCACTGGTGTGCTGCAGTAAATATTTGGAAATGAGCCTGTACATGGCCTGTGGAGTTTTAGTGGGAGTCAAGGAAGTTAATTCTGCTCCTTGCTTTCAAAATTCTCTACTCGGTATTTTTCATCATAATTTTCCTTTCTATCAATAATCCTATTATGTAATTGCTTAGCCTTCACTTTAGGAACTCCTTCTCAATTCCCTACACTGAGAAAAGACACAGAGAATAATTTAAACCCATTGTCACCCAACAAAAATCTTTAAAAATATTCAAGAGAAAATGTCTCTTTTCCAAGTTATTAATGCTCTTCCCTCCATATGTGTCATGTTCCAGGGTTACCCAATTCTCTATATTGCTTGACAGTCTGTGCATTCTCCAATTTTCTGAATATGGCTTAGGAAAAAGAGACAGAAGGAGACTCAGAAAGAGCAAAACAGACAGATACACATAAAACCTTGACATGTGTTTATCTTCAGAGCACCTAGCCAAAGACCTAGCTCCCAACACTTCCAAATCACTTCATGTTCTGTAAATGGAGCACTGTCTCTGCATGTGAACTTGACCATGGATCCCAAGGAAAGTACTTCTTAAATTAAAGCTGAGTTGAGTTGAGCTAGTTGAATTCCCTGTCTTTCTGAAACAGCAGAGTCTAGCAAATAATAATAATACATCATGATTTTGCTTTAGTCTCTCTGTATCTCACCACAGGTTACTGTATGTGCTTGTCTTCTGAAAAACCTTTACTCTCTGGAGAATATATTCAAGTACTAGATCAGCTGAGATTCTCACATTTTGTTGATGATTTTGTCTTCATTCCTCAACTCAACAACCCTGCAAATTTCTATTTCTCCAGAGAATCAGTCTTCCTTTGCCTAGTCAAGTCATAGTATGGATATACAGCATACAAATAATTGCAGGCTTCCTTGAATTTTTAGGTAGGAAGTATCATTTTCCTTGCCCTCTTCTGATTTATTTTGTTGGTTTTTATAAAGATGACAATGCCATGAAATAGAGGTGATATCTGAACGTGGAGCAACAGGAAACCCTGGCTTCCTTTTCCTTGAGGTATATACCAACTCACTAACGTCCAAGGGCAAGGGCAAGGCAGAGCTGTGTTTGGAATGGTGCCATCCATCATACAACCACATGCAACAGTTCCTTCCCCTGTTTCAGCCCTGCAGGAATGGAAAACAAACCTAACTCCCAGAGTGTACCTGAGGCACCATACCTGTCCAGCAAACATCTTTTCCAGAGGTTTCTGTGTTAGTCTTGGAACACTAACATACTTTTAAGCACTTACATAATATAACCAGCATACTCTAACAACCCCGGTGGCCAATAGGGACTAAGATGATAGTTTGATTTACCACAAACTAGTCATCATAGCTCTTTTCCTAAAATCAATGCACATGAAGTTTCCAAAGCCCAGATTTCAGCTTATCCTAGGGGAAATTGAACAAGTATGCAATGTTCCAACTTTTAGGGGCACGGCATGCAGTACTGGCTAAGTCTTGCTTATCTCTTGCAGGCCCAGCATTCTCTACCTACGTGGAGACTGCTAAAAACACAGAGGTTTGGCTAGATTAACACAGAGTTGAGAAGTCTCCAAAAATATCTGACTGGTCTCACAGGTAAGGAGCTGCTCTACCGAGCCAGTTTGTGGAGACAGAGATGAGTGTTTTGTGAATGTACATACAGATCTACTCCCTACTGCATTTTTCCAACAAGAATAATACATCTAGACTGGACCATGAAGGGTCCTGCCCAGGACCCTTGGTACCTTCAAACACTCTGTACATGCACCAACTACACTAAAGCCTATTTTATGTGGGCAAGGAAACTAGAACCATGATAAGGGCTGGTTTAATGAAAACGCATTCCTGTGTCTCAGAGCCAAAGCTAGTGTGCAATGGTACAGTCTCCTGGGGTTTGATTAGCATGACACAGAAGGCCAGTTAAAAGCTGGATTGCATGTCAGAAGACACAAAATGAGATGCTCACTGCAGATACCCAATGATGTTGGGTCAGGGGCTCCTTGCCCAGCCAGAGAGAATTAATGTGACTACCTTACCAGGAATCATACTTTAAAGCAGGGAAAACAAGTGGGACAGCTGTGTAACGCTGCCCAGTTGATGGATACAATGCAAATGGTGGCTTGAAGGCCATCTTTGCCCCCAGTGTCAATCTCCTATCTGCAATCAGTCCTGTCTCGGCATATCAACCCTGGCAGCGAATCTGAGTGTCAAATAAGATACATTTATCTTTAGAAAAGGTGTTTCCAGGTCTGGATGCAAATGCATTTGGAATGCTTATACCTTAATACTTCAATCTGAACCTGAGATTTTGAAGGAGAGGGAAAATATGTACGTGCATTATCACCCACATATTGAGAAATAAATAGAAAGGAAGTCAGATTGTTTCCATAATGAAGTTTCTTCCTTCCTTATTTCCATGATGATTTATTCTTATGGAAATTCCTTATCCAATGCTTTATGATAAAAATTTAATATGAAAGACTGAAATTTGTTGGTGCTTCTGAATTTATGATTTTTTGTATTTCAGGCTTCTAAAAGGCTTCTGGCAAGAAATGAAAGATGAAGCAGTTCACCAAAAGGGACAATGTGTAACTGGCTTTTATGTCAAAAGTGATAGGCATAGAACAAAAGTCCTATGTTCAAATAAAGGAAAAGTTACTGCATGGCTTTGATGTCTGTTTGAGGATGTTTAATTCCCCTTCTCTTAACTACCTGAGACCATTCAATTCCTCCCTTTATGCATGCAGGATAAAATTACCTTTATGTCAGGAAACTGGCCCAGGTAGGTGTCCAGAGTCAGCAAGGATCCATCCACTAGCTTTTGATGGAAGTCTTCCCACAGAACGTCACATTTCTAAAAGAAAAGAGAGAAATCGATAGGCATCACATTATTTTAATTGGACACAGCTCACTAAGCTTCTAAACCATCTCAAATTATAAAGGCAGATAAGTAATATTTTCCAGATAGTAGAAGCCAAAATGAATATGGATGGCTTAAGTATCCTTAATTTAAAAATAAGGACAATATTATCACATTTTTTTTGATTAGGCAAAGAAGCTCACTTAAAAAATGTATTTCTGGCTCTAATTTATTAATTAATGTAAGCTTCAAAGGTCTCCAATTACCTATACATGGACTTGGGAGCTAAAACACAGAAGAAGTCCAGGGACAGCCAGCTTACCTGAGCAATTCTGGACATCAGAAATCAACTCATTAGCTACTCAAGAGGCTAAAATCTGAGAATAGTGATTTCAAGCTAGCCTACGGAAAAAGTCCAAGAGACTCCATCTTCAATTAAGAAGTTAAAAATGCTGTACTAGAGGTCTGGCTCAAGTTGTAGAACATCAGCTATGAACCAAAAAAGCTGAGTGAGAATGTGAAGGCCTGAGTTCAAGCCCTAGTACAGCACAAAAAGAAACTTTTAAATATTTTTAATATCATTAAGTAGTTGTACAAAGGAGTTGCTATTCAACAAGGCAGTTAATGAATACAGTGCATCTTGATCAATGTCATCTCTTTCACTGCTCTCCCCCATCCCTCCCAACCCATCTCTTATTTAGGCACTGATGGCTTACTTCTGTAATTTTACCTATTCAGGAGGCTGAGATCTGAGGATTATGGTTTGAAGCCAACCTGGCAGGAAAGTCTGTGAGACTCTCATCTCCAATTAACCACCAAAAGACCAGAAGTGAAGCTGTGGCTGAAGTTGTAGAGTGCTAGCCTTGAGCCAAAAAAAAAAAAATCTCAGGGACAGTGCCCAGATCCTGAGTTCAAGCCCCAGGACCAGCAAAAACAAAAAGCAAACCAAAAAAACGACAGCAGAAGCAGTTACACAGTGAACAGGAAACTCATAGTTGGAAGAGACTTAACATTTATGAAGTAAACCCACAGTGAGTGTTAGTTACTAGGTTATTTTTATGATCACTATGTCAATTATTAGGTTTAACACTCTATAGGACCATTTAATTCTCACAACATTTATGAGGAAAAACTTCCAGTATATACAGAAGAGAACATTGAAATCTGTGAATGTCACGTAAGGTCCAGGTCATATTGGCCAAGGTCATGTGGTAGGATAAAGACGAGACCTAGCTTTCCATCCAGGTCCATCTCTTTACACTCCAAGCCTACATCTGTCTATTATACTAGACAGATATACTATACTGTCTATTATACTTAGCTAAACATTAGGATTCAGATTCCAGCTGAGTGACATCTGGACACTGAACCTTCCTGGATTTCAAGTCCCCTAGCTAAATGAATAAGGAAAAAGCACTTCACAAAAATCCCAGGCACATAGTAGGTCCTCAGGAATGTCATTCCCACATTGCTATGACAACTGTATTTGGGTCTTCTCACAGAGTCAATCTGCTGCTTACTTACCAATTTACGCTCTTGTGCCCTTAGCAATTGAACATCTAATTTTAACAGGACCATGTGGTTGCCAGGATAATGTTTCTATTTCCTAGCTTCCTTTGCAACTATATTTCTGTAAACATCTCAAAGAGGAAGGAGGGCCTTTGTCTTCCAGACTTCATTCTTCCCGTTGATTGAAGTATGAAAGTAAGAGCTAATGGCCAGTTCCCCAAGAGTCCTCTTGTATCTGCATGAGGCTGGCTAAAGACGGGAAAGATGGAGCACTGACATGTTTTTGAGTCTACCATGCCAGACGTGGACCTGATCCCCAAATTCTACTATGTGAGAGACAAATTTTCTCTTTCTAAAAAAAAAACCTGTTTAATGTTTTTTTATTCCTTTTCACACTTCAAAAATAATACTAGATGTTAGGGTAAGAGTTTTATACAGAGAAATATCTTAAGGAGTATGAGTGCTTGCCTACTATGTGTAAGGCCCTGGCTTCAATCCTTCTTTCCTTAAGTCCTCTGTGAACAGACATTCTGACCAGGAACTCAGGAGTCCCTTCGCCAGCATATTTGCATCTGCAACTGAGAGTATCAAAACATTTGTCAACCACAGGGATCAAAATGGGAAAGCAGCCATGAACTTGGAAGAATCCACAGTGTCAGAGTACTTGCCAGGTTGAGAAAGTAGTGAGTCTGTGTCTAACAGCGTTCATACAAGTTTCAACTATTCCCTTAAAAAGTCTACCTTCATGATTAATGTTTAGTAATACACCATTAGTCAAAAACTTAGTCACAAGGCATTTTTAGCACTTCATTGTCAAAAGTGTCTTTACATTCAGAAAAAAAAACACATGAAGAAAAAATTATGTAATCATTTCATTAGAAAATCATGTGTGAAAAAAGTTTTGTGAACTCCACATCTTCAAAGTTCAGCGAATATATAACAAAGCCAATAGCTCTCCTCCTAAGTATTATCTCAGTCCTAATGAAATTCTAAAGACCAATATCCGCTTGTCAGAGCTCTCATGGAATCACTTCAACTGTGTTATTAGCAGGTCCAATGATTATTTTCATTTTGTATATGAGGACACTGAGGGCCCAAGGAAATTAAAGAACTAACCCAAGGTTACCCAGAGCTACACTTCCTCCCTGATCCACTCTGCTTCCAGGAAGCAGCAACCCTCGTCCATTTGTCTACTTCCTCCATGCCACAAGGACCCACACTAGTTCAATATGTCTAGGGCCAAAGCTCTTCTCAAGCTCAATTCCTGGGAGCAGGCTGACTTTGTATGTGTCCTCAAGTTCTACAGATTGGTGATGAACAAGCCAGGGTCACTGTAGAATAGATGTTGTTCAGGCTTCCTGTCCCTATATTCAGGAATAAGTGGTTAAAGTGGAAATGGAGCAAAGGGAGGATGTTACTACAGGAAATCACCCTATTATCTAGTTCTCTTAGAAATGGTATATAGCAAGAAAAAGAACACTATTGTTATTTTGAAGAAAAATAATCATTAGGACACAACCTTCTACCTAAAGATTTTATAATCCCTTTCATCTCTTGCTATGAGTTTGGAATGATCCAAAATTACATGTTATCTTCTGGGTACATGATCGCCCCTCACCATGAAGGCTCTAAAGTGTGCAGGGGAGGTACAGGGGATAGGCTGAACAGGCCCGGCTTGGTAAGGCCTCCTGGAAGCTACCTCCAGGCCTCCTGTGCACAGCCACACAGCTCTTACCTCTCCAACCATCTTCACGTCTTCCCGACCATACCAATCAGGCTCATACACCTCATGCAGAGACTCGGTGAGTTTCATGGAGGCCTCTTGCATGCCTGGTATTGGAGAAAAACAACTCCTGTAAGGAAGGAAATAAGCGAAGAGTCTCTTCTTCCCCTGCTTTGCTGAGTGAAAAATCTCGAGGTCCTGTTAGATACTGAAGGAAAAAGTTGTACAGGCACAACTGCCACTTTGATCTACAGCCATGATTTTCCTTGAGGGTCCCTGAGAACTATCACACTTAACATCTTCTACTCTTTACAGGGAGATAGAACACACTGGGTCTTGGGAAAAATGAACACATTCTTATTTTGAAAAGAACACCAATAATAAAGAGTTGTGTTATCTGTGCTATATCACTCACAAAACATCACGAAGTCTTGAATGTCTAGAACACTAAGAAGAGTCTGTTCATTTCAGAGCTCTAAAAATAAGAATTAATCTGAAATAACTTAATGCAAATGCTTTACTTTTAAACAAAGCACTTTTAGAAACAGATAAAAACAAAATAGAATTTTAAGATATAACAGCTAAAGATGGTTAAGTGGTTTGAAAGAGTAAAGAAATGCTTGAAAAGTGGTCTAAAATATTAAAAAATGAAAGAACAGAGAAGCAAAAAGGCTGCATTTTTCCAACATTTGTAACAACCATCTATACAGTTATAAATACAAACTTTCAGAAAGCTTAGGGTTCATAAGCCTATGGGTCTACATTTTCATCAAAAATACACCTGATATGTTATATAGATGTAGTTATTAATAATAGCAGAGAAATAAAGTTTCTGAGTGCAATGTGGCAATTAAAACTATCATCATGGGAAGTGGCTCAGTGGCTCAAGTGGTAGAGCACTAGCCTTGAGCTGAAGAGCTGAGGGACAGCACCTAGGCCCAGGGTTCAAGCCCCATGACCAACCAAAAAAATAAAAAAATAGCCAGACGCCAGTGGCTCATGCCTGTAATCCTAGGTACGTAGGAGGCTGAGATCTGAGGATCGAGATTCAAAGCCAGCCCGAGCAAGAAAGTCTGTGAAACTCTTTTTTTTTTTTGGGGGGGGGGTCCAGTCGTGGGGCCCAAACTCTGGGCCTGGGCGCTGTCCCTCAGCTCTTCAGCTCAAGGCTAGCGCTCTACCACTTGAGCCACAGTGCCACTTCCAGCTTTTTTTTCTTATGTGGTGCTGAGGAATCGAACCCAGGGCCTCAGGCATGCAAGGCAAGTGCTCTACCACTGAGCTACCTAAACTCTTATCTACAATAAACCACCAGAAAACCGGAAATGGTGCTGTAGCTCAAGTGGTAGAGTGCTAGCCTTGAGCTGAAGAGCTGAAGGACAGCACTCAGGCCCAGAGTTCAAGCCCCATGACCGACAAAATAAATAAATAAACAAGAACAATAAAAAAGTAAAAAGTAAAATATGTATCATCATATAATCGATATAGGTTAATTTGTCTTATAAGAAATTTAAAGGAGAGAGATACAACCAGATTTTGATAATTTCATCCAGATGTTGGGACTGTGAATGATTTTTTTCTTGCATCTACTATAACATTATTCAAAATTTCTGTTGTATATGCTCATTAATTGTACAGAAATGTTATTTATTAAATTTGTGCTTGAAATTACAACAAATGCTTATTCTCCAACAAATCAATATTCATTTATTATCTCAGAAAAGAAAAGAATCATCAAGCCTTTTCCATGGGGGTAAAAGAATAAGTGTGAGTTTCCATGGAGACAGGCTGAGAACTGGCTGGGGACTACATTCGTCCCCCTGTGGCATCAGACTCTTCACCTACACATGGAAGGTAGAACCTAGACAAACAGGTGTCTTGGCCTCTGTCAGGAGGGAGTACACAAAGACACTGAACAAAGGGAGAGAAGAGACGGACAACCCCAGTGAACCAAAGGCAGAAGCAACTTCCAAACAGGAAACTCAAGTGTATAGTTTCTGGCTAGATTGATTCTGGGTTCAATAATGATCACATTAAAACATGCCTGAAATGATTTAAAAAAAAAAAGGAGTACTAGAGAGTGTAAAGAGATCAGTGGATGAGTTGGTATTTTATTGTATGTTTTCACTCTGTAGAAAGAGAAAATCCCCCTTCATTGCCCCTGATAACTATGCATATACTGGATCCTTGCATCCTAGAAGTTTGAATGATGTGTGGAAGTGCATAACCTTCTCTCCACAAAGTGCACATCATGACTGTGAAGAAGGATGCTCTAGACAATGGCTGATAAGTCTTGTCTATTCAGGCAAAGTCAAGGAAGGAAAACAGTGATGACTCAAGTCTCTGGAGACTCTGATGAAACAATCCTACAGGAATAGAGACAGCCAAAATGGATGCAAAACCCTGCTCCTGACTCCCAGCAGCCAGCATCAAAGTGAGTAAGAAGACTGTCTCCATGTCAGGGTGACCACTGATCGGAGAGAAACAAGCAACTCTGGACCAAGAAATGTACCCCTCAAATTCATGCCAAAGCTAAATTTCCTCCTATAATTCAGATGTCAAAGGGCCCTGAGATGATAATAAAATCTTTGCCAGAGTCAGACGAAATGATACACAATGTCTTATAAGAGAAAGTAGAAAAATGACCTTGTTTTTACAAAAATAAAAACAGGACATAATCTTAAAATAAAATTATGTAAGATTTTATTCACTCCATACTAAGAGAATAATGCTGCAGCAGTAAATACATACATTAATAGCCCAAAATAGCTGCTCATCCCTGTGAGGATAAGAATGATGGGCAAAAAGCCATTTGCACACACAGATTGTTTCCACGACATTTATCCAAAGAAAACACTTTGATGGCCACAAAGATTGAGCCAGTGAATATTGTTCCCAAGAGGCATAAAGACCCAAGGGGGGGCAACAATTTAGTTACTATGGTTTCAATATATCTCCAAAAGGTCACATCCTAAACCCTGACACAGCTGAGTAGAGAGGTGAGACCATTCAGAGAAGACTAAATCACGAAGACTGCCCTCATGGATGAATTGTGAGGACTCTATCCTCATGAATGAATGAATGAATGCTACTGTCCCAGGAAGGCTTCATCATTGTAAGGTCAGGTCCCTGGCAACAATGAGTGTGGTCCTCTCTCCTTCTCTCTTGCCCACATGATAATCTCCATCATGTCAAGATCACCCTGATGTGATCTCTGGATCTTGGAACTTTTCAGCCTCTACAACCATGAGCCAAATAAATTTCTCTTCTTTATACATTGTCCAGCAGCACAAAACAGACTAAAATAGGACTTTACGCTGATAAAATGTAATAGAGAAAAAGAAAGAAATTTAAAGGACAAATCTAAGTCCACTTCAAAGGAACATGGCAACATTAGAGTAGAGGGCATGCTAAATGTTACCTCTGGTATTGGATAACATCCAAAACCAAATATTTTTCTCTCTCTTTTTTGTGCTGGTCTTAGGACTTCAAATCATGGCCTGGACACTGTCCCTGAGCTTCTTTGCTCAAGGCTGCCACTCAACCACTTGGGTCACAGCTCTTCTTCCAGCTTTTTGATGGTAAATTGGAGATAACCATCTCCTGCCCTGGCTTGCTTAAACCACAATCCTCAAATCTCAGCCACCTGAGTAGCTAGGATTACAGGCATGAGCCACTTTTCTTAGAAGATTAACAATTTACAAGCAGCAAAGCAACTGCCCAGCATTATGGAAAGTTATGTCTTTCTGTTGGATGCAACCTCTTCCCTCTGTTCAACATTTTTCGCATTAATAGAACCCAGAGTCTATTTCCATTTGGAGCTAACTTTATGGGCTCCTTTCCATCCCGGAGCATGGGTTGCAGGGCTGGCAAGGTTGGCAACACAGATAATCTTTGCTTTCATAGCCTGAGAGTACGTGTTTTAGTTCAAAACAGCCTCAGCTTAAATATATTATAGCAGTAGCCAGGAGCAGCAATAAACCATTAAGAGGATATTGAATTTATTGCTAGTATCTAGCATCAGGTAGCTGTTTAAAAGGATGGCAGCTGTATTAAGTGCCAGTAACTAACGTCTGTAATCCTAACTCCCTAGGAGGCTATGAATGTGAGGATCACAGTTTGAGGCCAGCCAAGGCCCTAAGTACAGTGCCTATACAGTGCCTATCCCTTGCCCCTTCCAACCAGAGGGCCTACGAAGTGAGTTTTTGAGTTCTCCTCTTGGGACCAGCCCACTCTCAGAATACAAGCAAGCTATAGCTTTGCTTAAACAAATCCCAAGCTCACTCTATCCAGCAAGTCTTCCTAGAAATCTCAGGCATGTGGGTGGCATTTATTCTTAGCTCCCAGCAGAAGGGCAGATATATATTTGTCTTTGTATATTCTGATTATCATTTCAATGGGTATTTGGAAGTGGGTGGAATGAAACACCTGTGTTCAAGGACCCTACTCACCAGGAAGCCAAATGGCTTTGTAATTAGCACTCAATCTTGTCTCTTAGCAAGTTCCAAGAACAACTTGTGCTCAGTAACATGCAGTAAACAGCTCATCCACATTACCTTTGATTGCTGCTAAGTATCCTCTGAGTTCTCGCTGGAGCCTGGTGCCCTCTGCCTGAAAGACACACAAGCACAGAGATGCTAAATATCTGATCTACATCCTGCTGCATGCAAACAAGAACAAGCAATAACACCCAATGCTCTTGCTGCCAGAAGCTCATTCTTCAAAGAACATAAATACATGGACACAGAATACAGCAAGACAATAATGCCCATCAGTCGAGATATTTATAGTTTTTATTCATCTAAAAGGAAAAGAAAGCAGATACGATTCTGCTTAAAGTAGGAAATACGATTCACCAAACTGCCTTCTATCTATTCAGAAGCTGCCACGTTTGTGATTTTTTTTTAATGCTTGTCTTAGGGCTTAAGCTCAGGGCATGAGTGCTGTCTCTGAGCTGCTTTTTTGCTCATTGCTAGCATTCTACCACCTGAGCCACAGCTCCATTTCTGACTTTTGGGTCATTAGAGATAAGAGTCTCAAGACTTTCCTACCTTTGGGCTGGGAAGGTGGCTCAGTGGTAGAGCACTTGCCTTGCATGAATGAGGCCCTGGGTTCGATTCCTCAGTACCACATAAGAAAAAAGCCAGAAGTGGCACTGTGGCTCAAGTGGTAGAGCGTTAGCCTTGAGCCGAAGAGCTGAGGGATAACGCCCAGGCCCAGAGTTCAGGGCCCACGACTGGACCCCCCCTCCCCCCCAAAAAAAGACTTTCCTACCTGTGCTGCTTTCAAACTGTGATCTTCACATCTCAGGCTCCTGAGAACACTAGGATTATAGACATGTGCCACCTGGACCTGGCTACATTTGTAATTTTGATACACAAAGAACACCAGCACTACACTGATGGCCTCTGTTCAGTTCAGCAGCCATGTGCTCCAGGTGCACCATTCACCAGTGCAGAAGGGGCCAGAGTGTAAGTGTGCCTATCATATTAGTGCATTTGGCAGAAGAGATTTGGGAAAGTAGTTCAAAAAGACTTCAGTAAACTTTACACTTAAGCATGCTAAAATGATTCAAAAAATTAATGGGGTGGCATCCATCAGAAAAGATTGTGCTCAAAACTGTGTTGGTGAATGCCAACTCCTTTGTACAAGTACTTAAATGGATACTTTAAAAATAATATAGGTGGAATAAATTACATTATTAACATTTTTGCCTGTTTCTCTGCACCTTTCTCAACACAGCCCCTAGAACATTTTAAATTATGTATATTATTTGTATTACATTTCTGTTGGATGGCACTGGAATAGAGAAATTGTTGAGTTATAAATTTTGACATATGGGTGCTTGTTTTAGTTCTAAATCCTTTTGGAAACTCTGAGAGAAGATTTGACTCCAAGTCGTTTAATATGGAGTGAATTAGGAAACGTCAGGTGAAGAGAGGAGTGAGGCTGGGAAGGGAAGAGATGCAGCCTTCATTATCCAGTAAGTTAGCCACTGTGCGCAGCTGGGACTCAGTCCCACTCAGGGACTCAGGGTTATAAAGCAAATCTAACACCCTGTGGATCGTCTAAATGAGGGCTGCAGGAGCTGGGCATGTACCCATCAACTGCTCTCACTTGTTGGTCCAGAGCTACTATGGGGAGGATGTGAGTCCTCAGTACTGTATGTCTATTCAGAGAAGAGTTGCCCAGTAGTCAGAGCAAATCCTCAGGAAAACAGCTGCCAGTTCTGACAGATGTATGTCAGCCCAGTGGGCTTGGGAAGGGTAGGCATTAAGGATTCTCTGCCAGGCACCACTGTGACTGAAAACAAAAGTGTGCATGCATTTTAACTGTGTCATCATTTCATAGATGCAGAGACAATGGCTCCATAGTCATGTCCAGTTCAATAAATATTTGTTGGTATTTACTTTCCTCCTGAAGGTGAGTGGGAGGGTAGGGGAACCTCCTTCTTTAATCAGTCACAATCTAGAAGAAGAATCAAAGTATCTAAGCAGAAATGTTGCATTGCAAAATAGATAGCATTGAGTTCTGGGCCAGTTACTCAAAGTGTTTTGGAGATGCAGAACAATCATAAAATATCCATCATCTTTAAAGGCACGGTGACTTATAGTAGGAAACTCTGAAAATTAGTATTCACTGTACAACTATACTTGGCCCCAGCAGATTTGTGAGAAAACATCTTTTCTATCAGAGTAGTTTGGTTCCTTTCTGTTAATCTTGTGGTAGTTTTTTTTCTGAAAAGTTCCAGCTTTGGCCAGGTGGTTTGGCTCTTGTTAATTACATTTTAGTTACTTTGTTTTCCTGTTGCACATTAATCAACATATCCTGTTAGAAGCTCCTTAAATTTTAGTTACACACTGTTAATTAAGCGACATCCTTTTACAGATGGTGAGCTAAGATCAGCCAATCAGAGCAGAGAGGCGGGGCCTGCTGGGTTAGAGATAAGTGTGCTGCCTGCCTGCTCTGTGGGACTGCTTGCCCCAGTTTTGGCTGATGGCGCATCCTTCTGCAGAAGTAAACCTTGCCTTGCTGAGTTCCTTTCATGTTGGTGTCTTTATTCCTACTTGACACCCCAACATCCCGAGCCATTTATAGCATTCTAGACAGCCCTTGCAAAACACTGATATAGTGTTACTATTCCTATTAAATCTATGTAAAACTCAGGTAAGAAAGTCTGGATTTGAGTTAAGAAAAAGCTATTTTTTTCAGCTCTGTAAACTCAGCTGTTATCAGATAAAAGGTTAGGGCTCATTCATTGAATGAATTTCAACCAAAATGGTTCTATTCAGCATGACAAAACAAAGCAAAACAAAACAAAAATCATTCAAACTTCTAACATTGACTCCCTCTCTAATGTCTCCGTGTGGTTGAAAATGACAAGTCCTAGTTTCTTTTGTCTTGCTGAGCTATTTAGAAATCTACTGTGAACCCACACTGCTACAAGCTAAGACCAATTTAAATAAATTATGGTAAGTTTCTGACACACTATAGTATAAACTTATTCCCACAGAGATGATGAGAACCAAATGAAAATGCTAATGGTAAACATTTGAGGAAAAAAAGTAGAAGGTGTAGAAGATCCAGAGAAGAAACACCTGGAGTCCTCAAGACCCTCCTTACCTCGTTCCACTTCCATAGGTTCAGTTCCTGAAGTCAGCTGTGGTCAAAAAATGTAATATGGAAATGTATGGTTTATGTTGTATATAATTCCCTAATGATATTCTAGTTTACATTGCCCACAGCGGTAGATGAGGGGTAGAATCCTCACCAGAGTTTCTTGCTGTTTGTATTCTTTATGATTGCTCTTCTGACTGGGGTGAGTGGATTTTTAGCAGTGTTTTGATTTGCATTTCCCTTGAATATTTCTTCATATATCCATTAGCCATGTGTGTTTTTCTTCTGAGAACTGCCTGTTCAATTCATTAGATGAAAGCTCTTTGTACAATTAATACACACAACAAATGATGGAAAATGAAGGCCAAGAAAGTAAAACTTGTGTGGGTACTAGTGGGAGGTACCAAAAAGAGAGATAGTCAATGTACCTTCTATGTTCTGTATGTATGCAAGTAGAGTAATAAAAACTGGTCGAAATCTTCCTAAGAAATGAGGAGGGAAGTTAAGAACCATGATAGAGGATATTGGCTTGATCAGGGTACTTTGCATGCATACATAGAAAAACTACAATGAACAGTCCTTTGTACACTTAATAGATGCTAATAAAAAAAAAAACCACTTTGAAAAATACCTAAGTTTTATACCAGGCATAGTGGCTCAAAAGCCTGTAATCCTAGAAACTTGGAAGGCAGAGAGTTAACGATGATAGCTCAAGGCCTATCCGGGCATGAAAATTCAAGAGACTCTCCATTTCAACCAGTGTCTGTCTAGTCACATAACTCTGTCACCCCACTCCTGCGGGAAGCACCAGAAGGATGGCAGCAGCCTCAGCCAGCCAGGAATCAAAGAGGAAGAGGACTCATTGGAAATAGGCAATGCAAAAAGGTCTAGCTGTGTGGCTCAAGTGCAAGAGCGCCTGCCTAGCAGGCATAAAACCCTGAGTTCAAACTCTAGTTCTGTCTGATGAAATCTTATGCTCTACCACTCTGCCCTTCCCAGAAATGTAACCATCACTTATTCCAGCGAATCCACACAGTAGAGGCTCCCACCCACTAGCAGTTTGTCTAAGTTATCAAACCAACTGTCACTTTATCATAGTCTGTAATCCAATGACCTTCACTGTCCTTAATAATAACCTCAGCAAGAGCAGTGATTCCAGCAGCTCAAATATGCCAAAGACAGGCTAGAAAGTGCTTCCTCCTTGGTTCCTCAAAAGACTCCACATAGAGCTCCCCAATGACCCAGCAATCCCACTTTTGGGCATTTACCCAAATGATCACAAACAAGGCCACACTAAAGCTACCAGCACAACTATGTTTATTGCAGCATTATTTACCATAGCTAAGACATGGAACCAACCAAGATGCCCCTCAGTAGATGAATGGATCAAGAAGATGTGGTATATATACACAATGGAATTCTATGCCTCCATCAGAAAGAATGACATTTCCCCATTTGTTAGGAAATGGAAAGGCTTGGAAAAAATTATATTAAGTGAAGTAAGCCAGGCCCAAAGAAACATAGGTCCCATGGTTTCCCTTATTTGCAATATCTAGTATAGGTATGAGTCAAGCAGAAAAAGTCAAATAATGTGATGTTAGGAAAACGAAACCTCAAATATGTATTTTAATGTTTTTGTTTCTTTCATGCATGTGTTTCTAACGCATTTATAATATTATCTCTTTGTTGCTTTGTATGTCCCTCCCCCACAGTGTAACCCCCGCTTTCACTATATTTGATGTCAGTATAACATGTGGAGGAGATGGGGACAAACAAGTCGTTTAAGGATTCAGGTGGACCTGTTGCAACAATGAGAAGTACAAAATGTCATGTCAAAACCAGCTTTACAATGTCAGTGTGGGGGGGGGGAGGGGTGGTATGATTGGGTGGGAGGGAGGGGGGAGGCTGGGAAGGGAGGTGAAGGGTAAACAAAGGAGGAGGCTGCAATGCTTGGTAAGAAATGTATGCATTATCCTGCCCATGTAATTGTAACC